GCTTCATAGGTCGACACTCAACCACTGAGCCACACCGGCCGGGGCTTCCTGGGGTTTCCGTGCTGCCTACGAGGGAGGCTGCCTGCTTACAAGGGTCAGACTTCTTCTCCGCCTTCCGCTCCCCGGTCCCTCCCCCTGCATGTGGCTGTCGGGATTTAGTGCTTGTCCATTCATCCCCCCCGGCCCCCCCATCTGTCTCTCTCACCTGACCTGTCACCCCGCCTTCACCACCTCCTTGCCTGCTCTGCACCTGGCCCGGAAGGCCCCTGCCCCCGGCGGTGGCTCAGTGGTTGAGCGGCAACCTATGAACCAGGAGGTCACGGTGGATTCCCGGGCACAGCAGGGGTTTTTCAACAGCCGGTGTTTCTGTAAACGGAGGCCGGAGGCTGTTCCCGGGACAGGCCCCGGGTTGCCCGAGAGGAGGGTGATGATGCAGCGACGGCCCGGGGGAGGGAGAGGGGGTGGCTGGCCTTGAAAAGCGGGAATGGATGACAGGCAGAGACAGGGAGGTGTGGGGACGCGGGAGGGAAGCCAGGGACCTGAGCTGGCCGCCTTCTCGGGAGGTGGGAAGTGGCGGGAACGGGGTGGCAGGCGCGGCCGAGGTTCAGCCTGCGGGGGAGCCAGGAGAGATGTCACCCTTAAAAGCCTTTCTGGCGAGGGATTCGTTCTCGTTCTCGGTGGTGAAGACCTCGTGTGGCTCGGGGAGGCGTGTGGAGGGAGGGACGCCGGCGGCGGGTCGAGACTCGCATGTCAGCCCCAGCTCCCGGAGCTGATGAGCCATCGGACTCGAGCCCAGCCCTCCGTCTCCTGAGAAGAGACGGGAGGAGACAGGCCTCACGCCAGCTGTCAGCAGAGACATGGCGCGCGCCTACTGAGTCACTTACGAGCAGAGCTCCAGGGCGTGACCCGGGGCCACTGAGAAATGGGGCTGTGTGTGTGCCTGTTTGTGTGTGTGTGTCTGCGTGTGTGCCTGTGCCTATGCATGGGTGGGCTTGTGTGTGCATGTGTGTGTGTGCATGTTGCATGCATGTGTCTGTGTGTACGGATGTGTGTGCGTGTGTGCCCATGTGCATTGTGTTTGTGTAGGTGTGTGCAGGTGTGTGTGTGTGTGTTTCTGTGGTGTGCTTGTGTGTGTGTGCCTATGCATGTTTGAATTTGTATGTGTATGTTTGTGTGTGTATGTGTGTGCGCCTGCTTGTGTATGTGTGTGCATGCTTAGACGTGTGTGCGTTTGTGCAGGTGTGTGCTTGCATTTGTGTGTGCATGTATGGGGTGTGTGCGTTTGTGCATGTGTGCCTGAGTGTGTGTGTGTGCCTGAGTGTGTGTGTGTGTGTAAGCTGTGGTTTGCAGGTAAAAGGCCTCGGCAGGCCCCGGGCGTCCCGTGCAAGCCTCGTTTCCCATCACCTGTTGCTCCGCCGGCACCAGCACCTGCCAGGCCACCAGGGGCAGCAAGTTTAGTCCCGCCTCCTGCACAGCTCCCCCAATGCACACATCGCACGTAAATTCACTGAGCAAGGATTTAACGAGTGGATGGCATCAACAAAACCCAAACTGCATTTTTGGGAGCTGAGTTACACTTGCAAATGGCCCTCAACAAAAGCTTCCTTCCAAGCTCCTCATTTTGCAAAAGCTCGTCCTGAATGGGCTTACACGTTGTTGATCAACACATGGGAAATGGTCCTCTTCCCCTGGGGCTGGCCTGGATAAAAAGGGGGGGGGGGGCTCTAGTTCCCAGAGCAGCATCAGCCGTGTCCTCTTGGGGTGCACTGTCTGCCTCATGTCCCACAGGAGGTGCCAATAAATCTTTGTTGGATCAGAGGCCCCCAAACCTAACCAGTCCGCCCAAGAGAAATGACAACATATACGTCACACTGAGACGTATATGTGAGGGTTCTTGTCAGCATGAGTCACAGGAGCCAGAAACTGGGAGCAGCACACGTGTCCCTCCAGGGACGAATGGATGCACACAGCGCAGGCTGTCCGCCATGCGGAATGACGGGCACTGCCCGGCCAGTGTGGCTCAGTGGTTGAGCATCGACCCATGAACCAGGAGGTCACTGGTTTGATTCCTGGTCAGGGCACATACTTGGGTTGTGGGCTCGATCCCCAGTAGGGGGCGTGTAGGAGGCAGCCAATTGATGATTCTCTCTTACCAGTGTTTCTATCTTTCTCTCTCCCTGTCCTTTCCTCTCTCTCTCTCTCTCTCAAAAAAAAAAAAACCACAAAATAGATAAAAACATAAAAAGAAAAAAAGAATGACTGACACAGGCTACAGCATGGGTGAACCCCGGTGCCATTATGATAAGCGAAGGAATCGGGTGCAAAGGCCTGCATGGTCTCAGTGTCCAGAATCGCCGAACCTGCAGAGGTAGAGACCAGATTTGTGGTGGCTGGGAGCTGGGGTAGACCTGGGGCGTGATTGCAAACGGGCATGAGGCTCATCCTGAAGTGATGGGATGTTCCAAGATGGGGTAGTGGGGATGGCTTCACCCTTCCGTTAATTTACTAAAACCCATGAACTGTGCTCCTCCGAGTGAAGTTTTTAAAAATATTTTTTGATTTATTTCAGAGAGGAAGGGAGAGGGAGAGAGAGATAGAAAAGAAATATCCGTGATGAGGGAGAATCATGGATCACCCGCCTCCTGCACGCCCCGCACTGGGGATCGAGCCCACAACCCAAGTATGTGCCCTGACGGGGAATTGAACCGTGACCTCCTGCTTCAGAGGTCAACGCTCAACCACTGAGCCACACCGGCCGGGCAAACAGATGGTCTTGAATCAAGATTTTGCATCATAGAGTTACAGGGTGTCCCAAAATTCACCCAAGATTTGAATTTTACGTGAGCATTAACAACAACAAAAAATAAAAGCCTAATTTTACTTGGTTTATTGAATCAGATTCTAATATCTGTTGCCCTTTGATTTCAATCCCTTCCATTTGATAAGCATGACATAGGACCAATGATGGCCCAGGAACAGGGACAAGGAAGACCAATGAAGACCACGGCTTTGCGTATGTGCTATTCCACACATAACCCTGTCCTGTATGCTTTATGAATCAATAAAAAATTTACAATTTTTAATTATAAACCTGTGTTTTCTATCAGCATTACTTCTTGCGTGAATTTTGGGACACCCTTTAGTACGTTCCAGACAGCATGCTATGCAACACCTGGTTTAAGGCTGTTAAAGCTGCTTAAAGCTTTATTTAAAGTGTAAACAAAATAAAGTAAGTTTGACCCCAGTGTATTCTGTCCTCCCCGCCTCACCCCTGGAGTGGAAACGACCTCCTAGCGCCGTGGGCCCCGGGGCTGCGGGCCTGGTGCCAGGCCAGCGGGAAAGGCCAGCCCGCCGGCTCCGGGGAGTCCCCATCCATCCGCCCGTGGTTGCCCCCGACGCAAGGCACAGCTCTGTTTAGGTTCCCGGCTGACCGACACGCACGCCATCGGAATGAAAAGCAAACACTGGGGAAGAAGGCCGGCCGCGGCCTGTGGGAACGGGGCGCCGCCGATCCAGAAGTTACACGCTCGGGGCGCGCGGCCGGCCTTGCCCAGCACCAGCTGCCCGCCGCGGTTTCTAAGTAAGGCTCCCAAGCGGGAGGAAGGCCGGCCAGGCGGGCGGCAGGAAGCCAGTTAGAGCAAATGAAGAGAGAAGAGGGCCCTGGCCGGTGTGGCTCAGTGGATAGAGCGCCGGCCTGGGGACTGCAGGGCCCCGGGTTCGATTCCGGTCAAGAGCACGGCACCTCGGTGGCAGGCTCCTCCCCGGGCCCGGGCCCTGGTCGGGGCGCGTGCAGGAGGCAACCCAAGGACACGTTTCTCTGACATCGATATGTCCCTCTGTCTTTCCCTCTCTCTCTTCCACTCTCCCTAAAAATCAATGGGAAAATACCCTCAGGTGAGGGTTTAAAAAAGAGAGAGAAGAGGGAGCCCAGCCAGTGTGCTCAGTGGTTAGCGCCAACCAGGCTGCTAAGTGGTTAGCGCCAACCAGGCTGCTAAGTGGTTAGCGCCACCCAGGCGGAGAATCTCGGTATCTGTGCCTTTAAGTACCGGACAGGGAGGGGCTTCGGGGCAGGTCCCGGGAGCGTTCAGAGGTCCAGGCGTGAGGCCTCCTCAGGTGGGAACCCAGCCCCCGGCACCGCCCCGACCCAGGCCCAGGAGCACAGCAGCACCCGGAGCCCACGCAGACTACACGCTGCCCCTCCAGCCGTCTGTGTGTCCTGGGGGAATGGGGGAGGGGGCGGCATCCCAAGGCCAAGGCCGTGCACACAGGCCACCTGTTGGGATGCAGATTCGGGGTCTGGGGTTGTGGCTAGGGCCCGAGATTGTGCATTTATGTCCAACAAGCAGGGGTCGGGGTGGTGGGGGTGATGCTGCTGCCTGTGAGCCACAGGTGGGGGGGTCAGGGTTCTGGAGATCAGGAACACCCGAGAAAATGTCTCTATTTGTATTTAAAATGTTATTTTATTGTTTAAAGTATTACAGATAGTAATACATACGTCTCCTTTTTTTTTTTTCCCCATTGACCTTCCCCCGGCCTCCCCTAAAATGTGTCTGTTTTTTAAAATATATTTATATTGATTTCAGAGAAGAAGGGAGAGGGGCATCCATGATGAGAGAGGATCATGGATCGGCTGCCTCCTGCACGCCCCCCACTGGGGATGGAGCCCGCAACCCGGGCCTGTGCCCTGACCGGGAATCGAACCGTGACCTCCTGGTTCCTAGGTCGAGGCTCAACCCCTGAGCCACGCCCACCGGTCAGCCAGGTGATGACATCTATTTAAGTGTCCTTTCGGGAGGCTGCTGCCAAAGGCCCCTCCCGTGTCCTCCTGGGCGGCCGGCCATGACCCTGGTCTGTTTTGTTTCAAAAAGCTGCCTCCACACACCCTGTCCCTCCCCTCCCCAGGGTGTCTCGCCTTGGCCTTGGCCGTGGCTGTGGGTGGGGCGGGTGCCCCATTCCGGGAAGATGTGGAGCCCGCTGACCTGAGCGCCTTCTCTCCGCAGGGGAGGAGCGCCCCCGGGAGGGCCCGGCCCCCGCTGAGGCCCCGGCGGCGGGGTCGGAGGCCGGGCGGGGCAGCCGCCGCTGCTGCCGCTGCTCGGGGCCGGGGCTGCGCAAGCTGGGCTGGGGGCTGGCGGTGGTGCTGAGCGTGTGCACCTCCTGGGCCGGCGCCACGCAGCTGGCCAAGCGCACCTTCCGCACCTTCGACGCGCCCTTCACCCTGACCTGGTTCGCCACCTCCTGGAACTGCCTGTTCTTCCCGCTGTACTACGTGGGCCACGCGTGCAAGGCCCCTGAGCGGCCGTCGGTGAGGCAGCGGTACAGGTGGGTCTCCCACGGGGGCGGGCGGGTCCTGGGGATGGGCTGGGACAGACATGACAAGTCAGGGGTCCCCCCGATGTCTTAGTGGGACGGCCGAATTCTCTCTCCCTCCCCGCCCCCCCTCCTCTGGGGTGGTGAACACCTGCACCTCCACCTCCAGCCCCTCCCTCCACCCCCCCATTCACCCCCCCCCCCCCCCAGGCCTGGGAGCTCCTTTATATGAAGCAGGAGAGGCAGGCGGCATCTTCTAAAATGGCCGAGAGCAGCGGTCGCCAACCGGTGGTCCATGAGGTCCAAAAGATTGGCGACCACTGACCTAGAGGGTGCCGGGCTGGTGTGGCTAGTGGTTGAGCGTCACCCTAGGAACCAGGAGGTCACGGCTGGATTCCATTCAGGGCACAGGCCCGGGATGTTACCTTGATCCCCAGTGAGGGGCGTGCAAGAGGCAGCCGATCCACGATTCTCTCTCATCACTGATGTTTCTCTCTCTCTCCCTCTCCCTGCCGCTCTGGAGTCAATAAAAATATTTTTTAAAATAGCCGAGGGCAGGTCCCCAGGGAGGGTGGGAGTGGGGCGCGCTTTGGCTCCAGCCGGCTCCTCGGGATGGGGAGTCGGCGGAGCCGGGTGACGGTGGCTCTCTGTGGCTCAGATCTGTCCCTTGCAAGGACTCGATGACTCATTCCCCTCCCAACCCAGGCGCCCCCCTCATGTGTCTGAATACCCTGCATGTGACTGTCACACTCAAAGCCGCGTCTGGCCTTCACTGACTTTATTTTCTCATACGGAGTCCACTGGTTTGCTGTCCCTTCAAAAAGAGGCTGCCTGGCTGGTGTGGTTCAGTGGTTGAGCGTCGATCTAGGAACCAGGAGGTCACCGTTCGATTCCCGGTCAGGGCACATGTCCGGGTTGTGGGCTCGATCCCCAGTGTGGGGCGTGCAGGAGGCAGCTGATCCATGATTCTCTCTCATCATTGATGTTTTCATCTCCCTCTCCCTTCCTCTCTGAAATCATTAAAATATATATATATGTAAAAGGAAAGGTGTAATCAGAGCACTGCTTTTATTTTTTTAATTTTTAAAAATATATTTTTATTGATTTCAGAGAGGAAGGAATAGGGAGAGAGAGATAGAAACATCAATGATGAGAGAATCACCGATTGGCTGCCTCCTGCACACCCTCTACCAGGGATCGAGCCCACAACCTGGGCATGTGCCCTTGACCGGAATCAAACCTGGAACCCCTCAGTCCGCAGGCTGACGCTCTATCCACTGAGCCACACCAGCGAGGGCCAGAGCATTGCTTTTAAAAGAAGGGCCCTGGTGGGGCTTGGTTAGCCACAGGCCAGCCTCACACACACGCCCCCCCAGGAAAAAGGATTCTGAGTGGCTTCCGGAGGCCAGGCCCGCAGGAGCCTGGAACCAGAACCGGAACCGAGCCGGCCTGGGCAAGCTCAGGGTCAGTTTAGCCAGAAATTGCTAGAGAGACACACCGTGTACCTCCTCTGAACAGCGGCCAGACACAGGCAGGGACTAATCGGGTTAGAAACTGTGATAGGGCCCCAGATCGCCCTGAGGCCAGAGGGAAGTGATGGGCTGCTCTTAGTCACAGAGGAAAGCGGTGTATTTTACAGTTAAGTGGCCCTAAGTGAGTTTAATTTGTAATTGGGAGTTCTGGCTCAGATCTGCTGCTGCTGCGCAAACAAAACAGTGGGCGTATGGGCCCTTTTTTCTTCTTCTTTTTTTAATATGTATGTTTTTATTGATGTCAGAGAGGAAGGGAGAGGGAGAGAGAGATAGAAACATCCATGATGAGAGAGAACCACGGATCGGCTGCCTCCTGCACGCCCCTCTCTGGGGATCGAGCCCACATCCCGGGCACCGGCCCTGACCGGGATTCGAACTACAACCTCCTGGTTCATAGGTCGATGCTCAACCACCGAGCCACGCCGGCCGGGCAGAGCTATTTTATTTAAAACGGGGGCCCCAGAGCAAAGGGACTTTCTGGCATTTGCATTGTCCGTTATGACATTCCTCATAGGCCTACCTCCGCTCGGGAATGGAGGGCCTGTGGGAAACACAATCACTGGACATGACGATGCCTCGTTTTTAAAGCAAAATCAGACCAAATCCTCTTCTATACAAAGCATCTCTGCTGAACGCTTCACCGAGTCACCAGACACAGTTTATCCACTCCAGGCACGAGCCAGAGCGGGCTGGGCCACCTGCCCAGACACCGTGGGCCAGTCCTCTAAACCAGCGGCCGGCCGCCAACCGGTGGCCCGCGGACCACTGGTGATCCGTGAGGTCCGAAAGGTTGGCGACCGCCGCACCCCTGCGGGTCGGGGGCTGAGCGGGTTAGGGTCTGCCGCTGAGGGTCCCTGGGAAATTTCAGAGGTGTTTTCCAGCCGAGGTCACCGTACCCCAAGAGACACCCAGCTATTCCTGGGTCCCCTGTAACTGGCGGGCCTGGGCCTGGACCACACTGAGGCATGGAAAGGGCATGTTGGTTGGGTGGCCATACCCCCTTCCTTCGAGTTGAGTTGGTCACAGAAGGCAAAGGTCAGATGGGCCAGAATAAGCCTCCTTTGGTGACGTTTGTGCAAATCCCATTCTTGGGCCTCTTCTAAGTAGAATGATCGTAATTGCATCTCCCTCCTTGGCTGTTGTCTGCGTTAGGCTGAGCAAACACAGAATGATTTGTGTACTCAGTGTCCCGCTCAGGAGCACGGCGGGATCCTTCCTCGCGCTTCCTGTCTGAGTGCCTGGCTTTATGGCCCTCGCGTTTAATGAGTTCCTCTCAATCACACATGCATTATTAATTTATAAGAAAATAAATTAAAAGCCCTGGGAGCTACAGCTCCCTCGCCGCAGGAACGTATCGTCAGAACCGTTTCGTGGCATTATTTGCTGCTTGTTGCTCTTGGGTTTTGGGGGAAGGATGGAAATTTTTGCAAAGAAAGGCTTTAAGCCGGGCCGTTATGGCTCAGTGGTTGAACATTGAGGTGTGTGAACCAGGAGGTCACAGTTCTATTCTCGGTCGGGGCACATGCCCGGGTTGCGGGCTCCATCCTGAGTAGGGGGCGTGCAGGAGGCAGCCTGTCGAATCTCGCTCATCATGGATGTCTCTCCCTCCCTCTCCCTTCCTCTCTGAAATCAATACAAATATATTTTAAAAAAAGAAAGAAGGGCTTTAAGTACCCCACCAAAAAAGGGGGGCAGGCTGGTTAAAATTTCATTATGAATTAGTGTTGGGGTGTTGGTCTTTCAAATGGTTCTTTTTGAGCGTCCGGTTTGGTGAATTTTTGTGAAAGTTGGGTGAACGCTGGTGTGTTTAAGCTCAGACAGTGCCCTTGTTTCCTGGTAAAGACGTTTCCTCCCCAGTGGGGAGCAGAGAGAAGGACGCTGAGGGTGGCCTGAGGGGTATGAGGACATTTGCATTTTGCAGAATCCGTTTTGGGGGGGAGGTGAGGCTAAGCAGATCTTCCTTAGAGAGGAGGGAGGGAGCCACGCCCCCGGCTCACAGCAGTCCCACGTGGGCAGTGGGAGTCACAGCCACGGAGAAATTATATGAAAGAAAAGAGCCCGTTTACAAGCTCAACCCAAACCCCGTTAAGTCCCTCGTCATAAACAACAGGGTTTTATAGGGCCGCTGTGAAGAGGACATTAAACTCTGCTTAGACTCAACAACATCCACGTGTCAGCCTCCCCACGTGCATTTCTGAATTTAACGGGATCCCAAGGAAACACCGAGAGCTTCGCGTTAGGCCGTGGACGAGGCGACCCCGTAACACAGCCGTTCGGGACGCACTGTTCCCGAGCACCAGCTGCTTGCCAGGAAGCCGCGGGGTGAGGGCACGTGGGGCTGAGGCGTGTTACGGACATGTCTGTAACTGGCATGGGAAACACACAGGACATCGGTGTGGGGCTGACATGTGTTATGGACATGTCTATAACTGGCATGGGAAACTCACCAGGACATCGGTGTGGGGCTGACATGTGTCATGAACATGTATATAACTGGCATGGGAAACACGCCAGGACATTGGTGTGGGGCTGAGGCATGTTATGGACATGTCTGTAACTGGCATGGGAAACACACAGGACATTGGTGTGGGGCTGACATGTGTTATGAACATGTATATAACTGGCATGGGAAACACACAGGACATTGGTGTGGGGCTGACATGTGTTATGAACATGTATATAACTGGCATGTAGAAACACACAGGACATTGGTGTGGGGCTGACATGTGTTGTGAACATGTCTATAACTGGTATGGGAAACACACAGGACATCGGTGTGGGGCTGAGGCGTGTTGTGAACATGTCTATAACTGGCATGGGAAGCACACCAGGACATCGGTGTGGGGCTGATGCGTGTCATGAACATGTCTATAACTGGCATGGGAAGCACACCAGGACATCGGTGTGGGGCTGATGCGTGCCATGAACATGTCTATAACTGGCATGGAGAATTCACCAAGACACCCAGCAGCAGCCCTGAGGCACGGAGAGCTTTGGCATCTGACACGTGTGGTATCTCACACAGTGAGGGGACACAGAGAGCTTCGGCCCGTGAATGATTCAAAATTAGATCTTTTTTAATTTTTGTCAGATCAGGAAAAAAATAGTACAGGTTTTGGTGTGCCACAGAATTTTAGTGATCGATTTATGTGGGCCATGGAAAGAAATGGGTTGGTTGACAGTCACTGGCGTAGCAGGATCATCTGAAGGCATTTCAGTCACAAGAACCTTTCGTGCTCTTGAGATAGCATTTGATGCCCTTTGTTTTATTTTAAATTTTTATCTCTCATAACCTTCATCACCAAAAAGGTGTGATTGTTGCCATTTTACAGTTTCCCAGTGAAACCATATCAATTTAAGTTAAACACCCAAAACATGGGCAGATTACAGATAGATAGACAGACAAACAGACAGGTAGATAGATGATAGATAAATAGGGAGGTGCTGGACCATATGCAATGACAAGGAAACACATCCAAGAAATACTGTTCAGTGAAAAAGCACAACAGCCCTAGCTGGTTTGGCTCAGTGGATAGAGCGTCAGCCTGCGGACTGAAGGGTCCTGGGTTCGATTCCAGTCAAGGGCACATGCCCGAGTTGGGCTTGATCCCCAGTAGGAGGCAGCCAATCAGTGATTCTCATCATTGATGTTTCTGTCTCTCTCTCTCTCTCCCTCTCCCTTCCTCTCTCAAATCAGTAAAATATATATATATGGCAAGAAACTATAAGCCAGATGCATGCTGGGCACAGCTTCTGGCCAGAGCCGTCTCCTCAGTTGTGCGGACTCTCTGATCGAGGCGGAATGGGACTGTTTTTATTCTCGGGCGGGGGGTATTCTGTTAGTCAGGCTGCTGCATTCAGTGACGTCTTTGTTTTGATGCCGATCTCCTTGCCTAGTGCAATCACAGCTGCAGGACAAAGCCAGGTGCACCCAGGCCCCTCTCGTTGAAAGCTCACTTTGACAGCGATTGCACGGCCGTGTTTTGAGGGCTTGTGGAAGAAGACGTTGGGATAGGAAATGGTAGTCTAGGTAAATAGAGCAGGTGCCAGCGTTTGACCTTGAGACTGTGGAGGCCCCGTCTCCGGGAAGGTCGTGGGGATGGTGTGATTGAATGTTCTCAGGTCTGTGGGCAGGCCCTCAGTGCTGGTCACTGGGATGGCAGTTCCCGGGGCGTGGTGTGCCCAGGAACTACCCGGGGCCTGGTTCAGGTGTGGGTTCCAGGCTTGTGTCTAGAGACTTTCTGGTACCTTCTGCCCGGAGGACCCGGGCTCTGAGTTTATAACAAGGGCCCGGTGCGCCCACACGTTCTGGGGGAGGCTGCTGTGGGGATTGAAAGCGAAACTTCACCTGTTCTTTCTTCAGCTTTTCTCACTTGGAGAAAAACTCCCCCGGTTTAGACCGACGGAGCGAGGCCTCCCTCTGTAACTCAGCTCCCCGTTCAGCAATGACATCTGGGACGAAGGAAGAGGTCACGGTGCTCCGTGCGCCCCGCTCAGGGTCCCCGGGAGCCCGCTGGACGGAGGTTTGGGTCTTGGATTCCAGTGTCCTTCATGTGGGGTGTGGGGTGCGGGTGGTGAAGACGAACCGGCCTAGGCTGGGGATTAACCTGGGGCTTGGGGGGTATGGAATTCAGCGATCTGGGTACGATGGGCAAGTCTCTCAACCCAGAGCCTCGCCTTTTTCACTTACTGAGAGGGGAGAACTGAACCCTAAGCCACGTGAGGATGATCAGGTGACAGACTCGGGGACGAGGCCCCGAATGTCAGCCCCTCGCTTCTCCCTCTCCTACGCCTCCATCACAATTGACCAGGAGCAGGGACAGGCTCTGACCGGCCACTTCCACGCCTGCCCCTCTCCTGTGGCCCCCAACACGGCGTGGTGCCCCTGGCAGGGACACGGTTACCAATCCAAAGGTCAGCGTGGGCAACGTCCCGTTCTTTTACATGAGGCCAAACCAAGGAAAATGGAAAGGCTTATGGAAAAATTTCTTTTTCTCTTAAAGACAGAAGTCATTTTATGAAGTACCCTTTTGGCTGATGCAGTGCCAACCAGGGCTTGGGCCTGGGGACCATCCAGGCTGCCCCACAGGCTGCATTCTGATCCTCTCCTCCTGATTCCCCTCCCTGGCCCTCAGGAGGGCCTGTGGCATTGGAGGTTGGCAGACCCGGGACCCGAGGGTGCCAGAGGCCTCCCTCACCCCCATCCCATCCGCCCGCTCCCTGCGGGTCAGCCGGGGACACGGTGCAGCTTCAGGGACGGGTTCCAGAAGCAGGTTCTGGCTGTGGCCCCCGGCGGGAGGAGAGACCCCGGGCAGTTGCCAAGGCTCGGGCTCGGCCCCCACCTTCTCCTTCTTGCTCCCCCGGGTGGGGGCTGGGCCTCGGCCTGCATGAGGGAAGCAGGGTTGTTTGTGTCCTGACATTAGCTGGTTCCGTAGAGCTGATGAGTTATCGGGCGAGCGGCTGTTTGCCTACTGGGTTTGGTCTTGGGTCAACAGTGGGCCGTTGACATTTCCAGGTTGTCACAGTTTTGGGTTACAGTTCGTATTGGGAGCAGGTGTGCCCATGGTCACAGGGCTTTGTGTTTGGTGACTTTGCTGATGGGATCAAACCCACACCCCCCCACAGGATGTTGCTGGTAAAAGCGGAGTTGCTGGCCCGGCCGGCGGGGCTCAGGGATTGAGCGTCGACCTAGGAACCAGGAGGTCAGGATTCGATTCCCGGTCAGGGCACATGCCCGGGGTTGCAGGCTCCATCCCCAGTGTGGAGCGTGCAGGAGGCAGCCGATCCATGGTTCTCTCTCATCGATGCTTCTATCTCTCTCCCTCTCCCTTCCTCTCTGCAATCAATAAAAATATATTTCAATCAGTCCATCAATCTTGGCCAGCACGTGCCTCAGTTGGTAGGAACCAGTGGCTGGGGCCTTCCGTCTGCCCGGGAATGAGGAGCGTTAGGCTGTCATATCAGTTAAGTGGAGGTCAGTCAAGAGGGCACCTCTTGTGCTCCCTTCCTTGTGCCCAAGAAGAGGTCTCTGGCAGGTGGACTGATGGTCTTCCTCTCTCTCTGGTTCCCTTGCAATCAAGGTCTATGTGGGCAAGTCAGCTGACGCGGGTGAGGGCACAGTTTTGGGTCTCCCGTCAGCACCAGGCTCACTAGTCTGGGGTCAATTACCTTGGTCTCCTTAGAACTAAAATCTGCTCAGCGGAGCTATAATCCCTCAAAAGGCCACCAGAGCTCTACTGGGCCCAGGAATCTCACCTCCAGGATGGATCCATCTCCAGGACGGATCCCCACGCCCCTCCCCACTTCCCATCAGCCACTTGGGCTGCCAGTACCCAGCCATGTCTGCACGCCCTTTCCCCCCATGTCTACATCCATCAAACTTTGTAGGAATCAAAGGCAGGTTCTTGGAGGGGGTGTAAGCTTCCGGTTGGCTTTGGATGGCTCCTGTCCCGACATGAATCATTTTTTTGTAACAGTGAGTCAGAGAGAACTTGGAAATCGTACTTCCACTGTGTTCCCGTAAGAAGGGTCAACCTCTTAGTTAAAAGAGGTTGGCATTATGGGCACGATCCTTGCACCACCTTCTGTTGAAGCATCAGGGGCCAGCCTGACGTGCACAGAGGGAATAACACGACATCAGATCATTGTGCGATGTTCTCTTCACTGCACATCCATAAGTAATAATGATAACTAAAAAGATCCCACCCTTCCTATGAGTGCTTTAAACAAAAAAAAAGACAGGGTGGCCCTGGCCCCTGTGGCTCAGTGGTTGAGCGTCGATCTATGAACCAGCAGGTCATGGTTCGATTCCCGGTTAGGGCACATGCCCAGGTTGCAGGCTTGATCCCCAGGTGGGGCGTGCAGGAGGCAGCCGATCCATGATTCTCTCTCATCATGGATGTTTCTCTCTGTCCCCTCTCCCTTCCTCTCTGAAATCGATAAAAAACAAACCAAAACAAAAAAACGAGAGAGAGAGAGAGACGGGCATAGGAGATTGTGCGACGGTAATAACACTGCCTTCTCTCCTGTTTTAGGGAATGCTGTCGGTTTTTTGGAGGCAATGGCTTGACTTTGAAGGTGTTTTTCACCAAGGCAGCCCCGTTTGGTGTCCTGTGGACACTCACAAACTACCTGTACTTACACGCAATAAAGAAAATAAACACCACGGACGCCTCCGTGCTCTTCTGCTGCAACAAGGCGTTTGTGTTCTTGCTCTCGTGGATCGTTCTCAGGGACAGGTTCATGGGCGTGAGGGTAAGTCCTGGCTGCCCGCCTCCCTCCCGCGCTCATGCCGACCACCGCCCGCCCATCGGCTTGCTCGTTCGCTCCGTGCGCTGGCCCCTGAGCCTGAGTTGCTGGCCGCCCCGCTGCCGATCTGGCGGCGGCAAGGACCCCGGCAGGGGGCCCCTGTTCTCGGTGTGCCTTGCAGACCTTGCTTGCAAACCATACTCGACAAGCGCCCATGAACGCACCTTTCATTTCAGGCTTCTCCACAAGCATTCCCTAAAGCGCGTGCCCGTCGGGGACCCGGCCCGGGGAGGGTGTGTGGCCCTCACCGGTGTGGCTCCGTGGAGAGCGTGTGGGCCTGTGGACTGGAGGGTCCCAGGCTCGATTCCGGTCAAGGGCATGTACCTCGGTTGCAGGCTCAATTCCCAGCCCGGTCTGGGAATTGACAACCAATCATGTGTCTCTCGCACATCGATGTTTCTCTCTCTCTCTCTGTCTCTTCTCCTCCCTCCTATTCTCGCTCTAAAAAAAAGGGGGGGGGGGTTCCCTTGCGTCCTAGAGCTGGTCTCGCCTGGCTGCCTTGGCCATGGGGCCAGTGTGGGCTGTGCTGCAGCCTCGGCACCAGGCCCAGCTGAACCAAGGAGAAAGGAGGCGGCATCGGTGATGGACTTTCGGTCTAACCATCGCTCCTCCTGGGAGAAGGCTGTGACGGCTGCCTGACAGCTCCCGCTCTGAGTGGTGCTGGGTTTCCCTCGTCTCATTTTTGGGAGTTCAGGAGCTGGCGGGATCCGGGAGGCCCAGCAGCTGGCTAGGGAGACAGGCAGGGTCCCCTCGATAAACCGGTGGGGATTCGCACCCAGGACCAGGCCTGCCTGCTGCACGGGTTCTCCCAGAACCTTCCCCTGGGTCATTTCCAGGGACCGAAGGGAGCTGACACTGCCCCCTGCTGGAGGGCTGAGGAACAAGCTTGAGTCTCCCAGACATAACGGTCTGTGAGTAGTTGGCAGAGAGGACTCGTGCTGTTAAGACAGTTACTCAGGTCACAAGGGCTGCGGTGCCAGAAAAAACAGGTGCAGGTCACATGTCCAGACCCAAAGGAACAGGTGCAGGTCACATGTCCAGACCAGAAGGAACAGGTGCAGGTCACATGACCAGACCAGAAGGAACAGGTGCAGGTCACATGACCAGACCAGACGGAACAGGTGCAGGTCACATGTCCAGACCAGAAGGAACAGGTGCAGGTCACATGACCAGACCAGAAGGAACAGGTGCAGGTCACATGACCAGACTAGAACCAACAGGTGCAGGTCACATGACCAGACTAGAACCAACAGGTGCAGGTCACATGACCAGACTAGAACCAACAGGCACAGGTCAGACCGGAAGGAAGCCTAACGCTGGGGCGGGCGGCCTCTTACGGCCTCGGATGAGCCGGGAGGATGGCTGGTGTCACCCGTGATGCTGCCGTGTGCTCTTCCTGGCTGTTCAGACTCGGGGGCCCTAACGCAGCGGGGACTCCAGCCCAGCGTCAGGCTTGCGTCTTGGTTCCTCTCTGCGAGCTGTCGGGCCTGGAGCCGTCACTTCCCATCTCTGAGCCGCAGCCACCTCATTCCACACCAGCCGCTCCCGCTCACCTTCTAGAACCGTACGAGGAGGTGAGGCAGGCCTGGCCCGTGGAACTCAGTGGGTCTCTGTGTCGGTGAGAGGCCCGATGGGTCCCCACTTCTCCGGTTGGCGGTTGGCGGCGGCAGAGGCCTCCCCCGTTTCAGGAGGCAGTTTGGGGCAGGGAGAGCGGCCACAGCGTGAGAGCGTGGGGGCCCCGGGGCACGCCCTCCGGCCCCTCCTAGCGGAGGCCCGCCCGGCTGCGGCCAGGCGCTGGAGGAGGGAAGGGACTGGGGGAGCCAGCCCAGCCCGCAGCTCAGGGGAGGCGGGAGTGGGGTCATCGGCTGCACCCACAGCCCGTGCTTTCCACCCGGGAGAGGCTGACGAAGGAGCGGGAGGCCCAGCTGAGGTCCTGGGCTTTTCTCTTTCTTTTTTTAAAAAAATATATTTGTATTGTTTCAGAGAGGAAGGGAGAGGGAGAGAGAGAAGCATCCACGATGAGAGAGAATCATGGATCGGCCGCCTCCTGCACGCCCCCCACTGGGGATGGAGCCCACAAACCCGGGCCTGTGCCCTGACCGGGAATCGAACCGTGACCTCCAGGTTCCTAGGTCGATGCTTAACCACTGAGCCACACCAGCCGGCTGCCTGCTCTTTTGTCAGTTCCTGTTCTCTTGTTGGGAAAATCGCTGTGAACTCACTGCCTCTTTTTCTTAATGAGGAGTTGTACGCGGTACACGTGGTGTTTGAACATGCAATACATATGTGTGAAGTGGCTAAAACGACCAATCCTGAGAGGTGGGCAGACAGGTGGGGGCAGACAGTGTCTGTCGGCAGGCAGCGTCTCTGCGGAGGGTCCCCGCCTCTCTCGGGGGCCTCTGTGCTATGTGCCGACGTGTCGTCTCGGGAGAATATGGCGGGAGGAACCCACTGGAATAGGTCTGCCACGCAGGCGCTGCCTGAGCCTAAACTGTGTCACCTTCACTAGCAACTCGACATCTAAACCGCCAAGGACACTTGGAGTCGAATCCCGAAATGCAGCCGGCGGTGGTTCGCTGTGTGAGTCACACTTTCCTGTTTGTGTAAATATAGACACTGACTTTGCAGGCTGACGGGCCCGCACGCTGTCTTTCCTGCTCTGCCGCACACCGGCTCTGTGACTCTGGGCAGCTGCCTGCACCTCTCTGAACCCGTGTTCATGTCTATAAAATGACATGCGTGAAAGTATCTCCCAGCGTTGAGGGCTAAATGAGAAAATGCATAGGAGACGCTCATCCCAGGACCGCTCCCTACATGTGAGCCGTGTGACACTGTGAGCGCGAGCGGAGGTCAGCTTTGAATGACCCGTAGAGCGAGACAACACCCCGTAAACCCAGGGTTGAAACTCGCATTGCACACGCTGCTTCTGTGCTCCCCGTGCCCACCCCCCCCCCCCCCCCAGCGACTCTGCTGGGGCTCCGTGACCCCTCAGATCAGAACTTGGACTTCCCGCCCAGATGGTGTGGCTCAGTGGTTGAGCATTGACCTAGGAACCAGGAGGTCACGGTTCGATTCCCGGTCAGGGCACATGCCCAGGTTGCGGGCCCCATCCCCAGGGTGGGGCTGCAGGAGGCAGCCAATGCATGATTCTCTCATCATGGATGTTTCTGTCTCTCTTTTCCTCTGCCTTCCTCTCTGAAATCAATACAAATATATTTTTTTAAAAAAGAACTTGGACTTGCCCTTTGAGCTGGCACACTTCTCCCTGGGGAGCTGTCCCAAAGTCACTATCCCCCGTGCACTTCGATGCTTTCCTTTGCACGACGGGCGTGTGAGCCTCTCCCTGGCACCCCCCTCCCACCTGCGGCCTGTACCCGCCAGAACAGGGTGGAGGGAGCCATGAGGGAGGGCCCTGCAGCAGCTGAGAAGGGTGTCGGCACCTCTCGGGCTCGTGCCCCGTCTGTGGCCCTGCAGGCAGAGACACACGCCCCATCGGAACACCCTGCAGCGGGCGTGTGACATGGGACCTCGCAGGCCCGGCTGTCGGGATGCAGAGAAGCGAGGCTACATGAGGTGCTGTCAGAGGGCTGGGAAGGAGCGGGGAGGGCACGGCCAGGCGCTGTCTGCCAGGCCCTGCCGTGACCAAGTAACTAGCTGCCACTGGGGTGTGGCACCGCCTTCCCACGTTCCCAAGAATGAGGGCGACCGGCCACCGGGTGATGCTGACCGTGGTGCCCTCCTGGCCAGCTGTGCTGCGGCCACGCCAGGCTCTGTCCCATCTACCCAGGAGCAGAGATTTACAGGAGGCAGCCTTGGCTTGTTGTTCAAAGAGGGAGCGAGCCCTGGCTGGTGTGGCTCAGTGGATAGAGCGTCGGCCTGTGGACTGAAGGGACCCGGGTCCCATGTCCGGTCAGGACACATGCCCAGGTTGCGGGCTCGATCCCCAATGCGGGGCGTGCGGGAGGCAGCCGATTGGTGGTTCTCTCTCATCTTTGATGCTTCTCTCTCTCTCCCTCTTCCTCTCTGAATTTTTTTTTTTTAAAGGACCGAAAAGGAGGCCCATTCCCCTCAGCTCCCGAGCTCTCGGGAACATTCGGCCTCGTGGGCACGAAGGGTCCCTGGGTCCCTGCCCGCCCTGACGCTGTCGCCTTCCTCCCCTGCAGATCGTGGCCGCCATCCTCGCCATCGCCGGGATCGTGATGATGACCTACGCCGACGGCTTCCACAGCCACTCGGTCATCGGCATCGCGCTGGTGGTGGGCTCCGCGTCCATGTCCGCGCTCTACAAGGTAAGGCGGGTGCGTGGGAGCCTCCCGCCGTGAGGACCCGGGCCTCGGCGAGGCCACCTGGCCGGACGCGGGGACCTCGATGGTGCCTGGGCCTTAGGACCTCTGTCCCCGGTGCCCGAGCTCCCGGCAGCCTTGGCTCCAGCTCCCCAGACCCTCCCATTGGTGGCCAAACCTCTGTAGCATTTGGGGTAAAGTGGGTGGGGCCGGGGGTCTTCAGGGTGAGCTTGGTGACGTCATCGTTCAGCGAGGACTGGGGAAGGTCAGGGACCCTCAATGGCCGGCTCAGTGTTTGGTGAGATAATTTCCCACCAGATCGGACAGGAAAGGTTCCCTGTAGGGTGCGGCTTCGTCATTTAAATTTTTTAAAAATATATTTTTATTGATTTCAAAGAGGAAGAGAGAGGGAGAGAGAGAAACACCCATGATGAGAGAGAATCATGGATCAGCTGCCTCCTGCACGCCCCACACTGGGGATCGGGCCCGCAACCCGGGCGTGTGCCCTGACAGGGAATCGAACCGTGACTCCTGGTTCATAGGTCGATGCTCACCCACTGAGCCACGCCGGCTGGGCCAAAGATGGATTTGTAGGGTCCCCGAGAGGCGTGTGTGATCGTGGGTGATATTTCTCACTTGTGTGGCTGCCTCGTCTTCACCCTGAAGCTGGGGTGCAGTGTTGTGAATGCAACGCGGACAAGTGTGAACCCACGATTCCTGAGGGGCTCCCTCTCCAAGCAGCTGGAGAGGAACTCCACTGTGATGTCACTGGATTTGTGATGTCACTGGATCTGTGATGTCACTGGATTTGTGATGTCACTGGATCTGTGATGTGGGCGGTGAGCGCCCGTCTGACCGCCCTTCCCTGCAGGCCTGGCGGTGGGACTTGCTGTCAGGTGGCTCCGTCCTGCGGTCCAGCCCCGGCTCCAGGGCCTTGCCTCCCCGGGGCCCAGCTGTGCCAGCGGGGCCTGCAGCCTCTCCGCTTCCCCGCAGGTTCTCTTCAAGCTGCTCCTGGGCAGCGCGAAGTTCGGAGAAGCCGCCTTATTCCTGTCCGTCCTGGGCGTGTTTAACGTCCTCTTCATCTCCTGCGTCCCCGTCGTCCTCTACTTCACCCGCATCGAGTACTGGAGCCCTTTCTCCCACATCCCCTGGGGGCACCTGTGCGGATTCTCCCTCCTCCTGCTCAGTGAGTAGCGCACCTGCCCGCGATCCCCGCCCGCGATCCCCGCCCATGATCTCCCCCACGATCCCCGCCCGCACCCCCGCCCATGGTGACTGGAGAAAACACTGTCTGTATAGAACAAACATCAACATTCAACTCCCTGCTTTCCTTTTTATTTTTTAAAAATATATTTGTATTGATTTCAGAGAGGAAGGGAGAGAAACATCCATGAGGAGAGAGAATCATGGATTAGCTGCCGCCTTCACGCCCCACACTGGGATGGAGCCCACAATCTGGGCCTTTGCCCTGACAGGGAATCGAACCGTGACCTCCTGGTTCATAAGTCGATGCTCAGTCGCAACCCGGGCATGTGCCCTGACTGGGAATCGAACTGTGGCCTCCTGGTTCATAGGTCGATGCTGAACCACTGAGCCACGCCAGCTGGACGCTGGTAACATTTATTGAACATCGATAAGTGTCAGAGTTCAATGAATATGATCAGCTATTATCATCATGAATGTCATTGTCATCATTACTTGATAAAAGACTGGTCTGGTGCGAGGCAGAAATGCAACCAGGAAGCGCCTCTTCGTTTCAGCCTAAAAATGCAGACCCCAGCACGGCCAGCATGGCTCAGATGGCCGACCTAGGAACCAGGAGGTCACGGTTCGATTCCCGGTCAGGGCACGTGGCCCAGATGTGGGCTCGATCCCCAGTGTAGGGCGTGCAGGAGGCAGCCGATCCATGATTCGCATCATTGATGTTTCTCTCTCTCCCTCCCTCTCCCTTGCTCTCTGAAATCAATATAAATATGTTTAAAAATAAGAAATAAAAATGCAGACCCCAGGCCCCTGCTCACGCAGTCAGCCCCGCGTCCCTGCCAGCCAGGCGGGGAACAAAGGGTGCGGAGGCCCGTCCTCGTCTCTGGCGCCTTCTCACTGGTCACCTTTACTACATTTCTCTTCCTTCTTTAGGGAAGGAGGGGAGCTGAGTCATCAGGAAAGTCGTCCTTAATCCCCACATCCCAGAGGGCCCCCCCCCTTCCCCGAGTTCAGGGGTCAGAGCCGAGGGCAGTGATCTGAGGAGCTGGGGTCAGACGGAGGCCGGCCAGGGCCAGTCACGAGTAACCACTTCTTACTGTTTCAGCGTTCAATGTCGTGTTAAATTTCGGAATTGCTGTCACCTACCCCACTCTGATGTCTCTCGGGATCGTCCTCAGTGTGCCTGTGAATGCGGGTGAGTCTCTGCTTGGCTGTAGACAGACGCACGCATGCGCATTCATCGACACGCACACGCTCCCGCACCCAGAGCCCATTGGGAGCTGCCTCCTCACCCCAGATCGCTTGTCTCTTCTGTCATTTGGGGAGGGACCAAGTATTTATATTTATCATCTGCACAAGTCCCGTTCAAGTTTGGTCTGCAAAACGTAGTGATGTGCATGCATGATGGATGAAAGAATGCTCTTCAATTCTAAGAATAAAGCATGTCGTTGTAGAAAACATGGAAAGTACCAAAAATATAAACGATCATGTGTTCATTGTCCCGACACCCACAGGTGGCCACAGGCAGGCTTTGGTTTATACAGGGTGGGGCCAGAGGAGGCCTACGGTTGAGAGCAGGTCACAGAGTTTATTCTTGTGTGATTATTTAGTAATTATTGTATTCTTTTTTCTTTTTCTTTTAAGGGAGAGGGAGGGAGAGAGAGAAACATCAATGATGAGAGAGAATCACTGATGGCCTGCCTCCTGCATGCCCTCAACTGGGGATCGAGCCCAAAACCCGGCCATGTGCCCTGATCGGGAATCGAACCCATGACCTCCTGGTTCATGAGCTGACTCTCAACCACTGAGCCACACCGGCCAGGCCATTGTATTATTTTTCATAGGAACAACTGTCAACCTATGTTTGCCCGCCCCCTGTCTATTTGCCTAACAAATCCGTGTCTGAACCGAGGTGCGTTGGGAGAATCCACTACAAGTTCAAGGCCTCCCACCAGAGGGAGTGAAGGGTGATGTGCCTGAGGCAGCCCCTGCCACTGGGCACAGAGCCAAAGTAAGGAAGGTTCTGCCTTAGCTGGTGTGGCTCAGTGGATAGAGCGTCGGCTTGTGGACTGAAGGGTCCCAGGTTCGATTTCTGGTCAGGGCACAAGCCCAGGTTGTGGGCTGGATCCCCAGTCGAGGGCGTGCAGGAGGCAGCCGATCCATGATTCTCTCTCATCATTGATGCTTCTATCTCTCTCTCCCTTTCCCTTCCTCTCAAATCAATAATAATAATTATATATATGTATGTATATATATAATATATATATATATGGAAAGTTCTGGGGCCATGAGAAGACAGCTCCCCGCCCACAGCCCCCCGCCCTGCGAGGACCCACTTCGTCCCCTTGCCCCTCTCGCGCCTGGCTTCTCCCTGAGTAACCTCGTTCTCTGCCCCCGCAGTGGTCGATCACTACACCACCAACATCGTCTTCAACGGCGTCCGGGTCATCGCCATCGTCATCATCGGCCTGGGCTTCCTCCTGCTGCTGCTGCCCGAGGAGTGGGACGTCTGGCTGGTCAAGCTCCTCACCCGCCTCAAGGTCCGGAAGAAGGAGGAGCCGGCGGAGGGCAGCGGGGACCTGGGCTCCGGCCCCCAGAACAAGAGAAGGGCCCGGCCCTCCTTCGCCCGCTGACCCGTCTCCTGGACACGCGGGGACGCTGGCGCGAAGGGTCCGGAGGTCTGTTCCTGGCGGCACCTCGGTGGGCAAAGGTGTACATACCTGTACAGTCTGGGTCCCCTGGGGACGTCCCACGGGACTCATGGGCATGTCCAACCCGCTTGCTCTTGTCCACATCAGACCTTCCACCTAAGGTACCGACTCGACGCGCACGAGGGCAGAACCCGAGTTCTTTTTAAATGAATGTAAAGCGAGTAGGAGCCATCCTGGCCCCGGCCAGGTCTGCGGGCCACAGGTTCTGGTTGAGGCAGGCGGCTGTCCTGGGTCTTCTCGACCGAAAACTCCATTGCACACTGTGATAACTCCCTGGCGGTGGGAGTCATTGTTGGTTTCAGACCAGAGCTGGAATCTTTATTTTTTAAGGAACCAGAAGATGACGAAGTTAGTTTGGATGGACAGACGGATAGGAAGGGGACACGCAAAAGGAGAATGGACATCGAAAGCCATCTCTGTGCCAAGCCGGGGGGCGGAGGGTGGGGGGGCGGGTGGAGGAGGTCAGGCCTGAGCCGGGTAACGGCGGGGGGCGGGGGGTGGGGAGCCATCTGAGCCCCTCTCGCTGGCTTGCTCTCGCGTGTCGGTCCGAGGCCCCACCGGAGACGTTCCAGTGCCTTCTACAGAAACTTCATCTTGGCCTATGTGAAGCGAGTGATGTTCCCCGTCACTGGCGCCGTCGTATCGTTGAGATGTACACATCTTTAAAAACCAATAAAACCACATGTGATGGGCGTGTGTGTGCGTGCGTGTGTCCAGCGTGTGTCCACATGCTGACGGCGGTGTGACGGAGCGGGGGTCGCGCTGTGACCACGGAGGAGGGGGCCGCCCGTTCGCTTCTGCTTCGGGGACCAAGACGGAAGCGTGGCCTCCCGAACCCGTGCATCTTCTGATGCGACGCTTCAGCGCCAGGCTGCTGCTGATCCCGCCGTCTCGCTCTGCGTGGAAATCCTGTCTGTGATGGACCCGTGAAGAGGGACCAGGGCTGGGGGGGGGGGGGCGTTTAGAGTTTACTATTTTTTGAAGTTTACATTGTTACATACGAAAGGGAAACCTTATTTTGAAAATGTTGTCATAACCCAAAGGTGCACAAGGGGGCACGGGGCCCTGGAGACCTGAACTTTTTAACCAATAATTATTCTCCATCTCCATGACCTGTTGGGCCCAACAGATGAATAAATGGTTTGAAAAGAAGTGTGTCGTTGTCTTGATGGCGACGAGGGGACGCTCCCAGCGCACCCGTTCTGCCTTCCTTACGCTTTCGCTCCCTGCAAGGCACCCAGACCCACCCGACTTGGGGAAGGAAAGGCAATTCTGACTGTAAAGACAGATTTTGATTTCCGTGGAGTGAAAGGCAGGCAGGCAGGCAGGCCTCGAGAAGACAAGCCCTGCGCCTGGCCGGCACGGTGACATCGAGGACACAGCGCTGGCCCGGCCAGCGTGGCTCACTGGTTGAGCATCGACCTCTGAACCAGGAGGTCAGGGTTCGATTCCCGCACATGCCCGGGTTGCAGGCTGGATCCCCAGGGTGGGGCGTGCAGGAGGCAGCTGATCCATGATTCTCTCTCATCACTGATGTTTCTCTCCCTCTCCCTTCCTCTCTGAAATAAAAATATGTATATAAAAAAAACCCGCATTTTTTCAAAATCTAAGAAGGGAGGAATCGAATGTGCCCAGCTGGTGCACGCTCGGCTCCGCCCTCCTTCCGGGGTACAGGTCCCACGTGGCCGCCAGGTCGCCGGGCAGTGCCCGCGCCTAAACCTTCCGGGTGGCAGAAGGCAAGACTGAGAGCTTCAGGTCCGGGAAAGGGGCGTAGGGCGTCCCACCGGAAACCGGCGGGGGGGCGGGGCCATCCACGTGACCCAGGCCGCTGGGCGGAGCCAAAGGACGGCGGCCTAGTTCCAGGCACCGCTCTCTCGCCCAGCAGGGCGGAAGTCCCACCTCGGATGAGAGTGCTGAACGGAAGTCCCGCCTCCTGGCACGTCGACGGCGGCCCGTGAGGGTCAGTGCGCGGCCAGCGATTCCGCCGGGCGAACTGCTGGCTGGTGGTGCCGAGGTCTATGTGCCTGAGCCCAGCCTGCGGGGCGGCGTGACCCCGGCGGCGCCCGGACTCGGCTCGCGTCGCCCTTTCTCCCTTCGGAGCGGACGGAGAGGCAAGTTTGCTGTGGGCCGGCGGCGGGGACCGAGGAGGTCGCCGACTCTCGCGAGCTGCGATCCCTCGTGGGCGCGCCGCGTCCGGCGGGTTGATTTCGCCCCGCGCGCTCATTTGGAGGGAGAGCGGGTTGGTGCGGACAGCACCTGGGGAAGGGGGCGCCGCTGCCCCGTTTTACCGACGGGGACACTGGCTGGAGAGTAAGCGAGCGCCCCTCCGTGACCGGACCACGGGGGCGTGGCGCCGGCCCGGCCCCCCTTCCCCCCACCCCCGCCGCCTGCCAGCAGCCCGCGGTCAGCTGCTCCGGTGCGGGCGCTGCGGGCTGATTACTTTCAGCTGCTCCATGGAAATCCTCAGGCAGCCCCGCCGGCCTGGCTCCGGGGCGGAGCGTTGACCTATGAACCGGGAGGTCAGGGTTCATTCCCCGTCCGGGCACGTGCCCGGGTGGCGGCCGGATCCCCAGTGGGGGGCGTGCAGGAGGCAGCCGGTCCATGGTTCTCTCTCCCTTCTTCTCGGACATCAAACAGCGGTTCTCAACCTGTGGGTCGCGGCGACCCCTTTGGCGGTCCAATGACCCTTTCGCAGGGGTCGCCTCAGACCATCCTGCAGATCAGATATTTACATGAGATTCATCACAGGAGCAACATGACAGTGATGAAGTAGCAACGAAAACAATTTCATGGTTGGGGGTCACAACATGAGGAACGGTATTTAAAGGGCCAGAAGGTTGAGAACCACTGAATTAAAATAAAAAAAATAAACGCCTAGGCGCAACTGAGAAGAGCGGGGCTGGTGGGAAGCGCCGTGTTTTCCTTCCTCGTTCACGGCCCGCGTTGCTCGCCGGCAGGAGCCCGCGGGATGGCGGCGCCGACCATGAAGGAGCGGCAGGTCTGCTGGGGCGCCCGGGACGAGTTCTGGAGGTGCCTGGACGAGCACGCGGACGACGCCTCCCGGTGCCAGGCGCTGCGACGCTCCTTCGAGGCGAGCTGCCCGCAGCAGTGGGTAAGCGAAGGCCGGTGGACGGACCGGGTGCTCTTTGCCTTTGAAACGCACGGAAGTTGCTCGCGGGGGGCGGGGGGGTCTTCGGGGGGCAGGTGCTGATTTGGGGGCTGCGAGATGAGGTGCTGGCCGGGGCATGTGGGCCCCGCAGGGACCCGAGCAGCAGAGGGCACCCGGTGCGGTCAGCCAGGCCGTTGGCTTGCATCAGGCCGACCTTTGGGAAACGTCCCCTGACCCTCGAAGGATCATTGAAAAACAGAACGAAGACGTGAACGTGGCCCCCAAAACCCACCCGCTAAACCGGGAGACTTCTCCGGGGGCTGCCTGCGGGGCAGTATTTCATCTGGGGCAGGAGGAGGCCCATTCATGGGCCTGGAGCTGCCCTCACAAAGAACACATGCCCAGGTGCCCCCCCAAATCACAGCGACCCAGACCCCACATGTAATGGAAATGTGCCTGGGGCTGGTTCTGCCCCCAGGGCCTCCCTGACAGGTGTCCCCGCCCTGCCCTGCGGGTCCTTGGTGAGGGAGGGGCGGCGGGCGGGAACCACAGCATTGAGCCCATTGGCGATCGCCTGTAAGTTGGGGACACGCCTTCGTTAATGCCGGGCCTGGGTGGCTCAGTGGTTGAGCGTTGAACTATGAACTTGGAGGTCATAGTTCGATTCCCGGTCAGGGCACATGCCCGGGTTGTGGGCTCCATCCCCCGTGGGGGGCGTGCAGGAGGCAGCTGATCGGTGATTCTCCCGCTCCCTTCCTCTTTCTCAAATTAATTTAAAAAATAAAATGAGTGCTGTTGCTGCAATGCGGAGGTGGCAGCTGCAGCTCAGAGCGTGGAGGTCACGTGCTCCGTGCTGGTCAGGGCGGCGGCCTGGCGGTCTGAACTGATTTGTCTGCTTTTTCACGCACGTGCCGGTCCCCGTCTCCCAGGTGGCTTGAGAACAGATCGCTTTAGAGGCGGAGTGGCTTTAGGGTCTTCACGTCTCACACCTGGTTTTTGGGGAGGAGCCTGAGGCTTGAAGACCACAGGGTGTGATGGAGGGCGGGTCCTGTTGGGGCCAGGCTGGGAGTGACTCAGTGGACACAGGTGGCCTTGGGGGGACCTCTTCGTCCGTAAAACCAGCTGGATGCACCCCATCTCGTGGACTTACTAGGAAGGTCCCATGTCTGACTTGGCATAAGCTGAAACCTGGCATGTGTGGGGCTTGCTGATTGGATTAGAAGATGAGTTAGGCCCCCCAAATGCATTTCCGGTGATTCCCCTGAGGTCACTGAGAGGAGAACTGGCTTCAGTGGAGGTGAAAACTACGAGTTTGGGCTGACATCACACCTGAGTCCTTTTAGGGCCAGTGGTTCTCAACCTCCTGGCCCTTTAAATACAGTTCCTCATGTGGTGACCCAGCCATAACATTATTTTGTTGCTACTTCATCACTGTCATGTTGCTACTGTGATGAATCGTCATGTAAATAGCTGATATGCAGGCTGGTCTTAGGCGACCCCTGTGAAAGGGTCGTTCGACCGCCAACGGGGTCGCGACCCACAGGTTGAGAACCGCTGCTTTAGGCCCTGATACCATGACTGCCCATGCGCCCCTCCCTCTGCTCCCCCCCCCCCCACCTGTGGGCACTGAGCACAGCAGGGGACTGAGGACGGGAGGACCTGGCCCTGGAGGTGGGGGTGACGTAGGTGAAGAGCGGGGTGCTGGTGGGCCCCACCCTCACCCACCCCCACATTCTCCCAGGAGATCCCCGACAGTCTGGCCATCATTTGCCACGCAGGCTGCATGGAGGAATCAGGTGGAGATTTTAAAAAACAAGTAGCTATGTCCCAGCCCTCGTCTGTTTGTGGAAATGGAACCCAAACTTTTAAAAGCCCTGGGGCTCGCAGGTGTCTGGTGGATGAGCGCGGTCGGGAATCGCTGGGCTGCCCCCGTGGTCAGCGCGCTGCAGGCCCCGACCCCCACTGCCCTCTCCCGCCCGGGGCTGTGGACCCTCCCTGCCCCTGCTTTCGGGGCGGCTCTGGGCCCCCCGACCCCCACTGCCCTTCCTCAAGCCCGGGGCTGTGGACCCTCTCCCTGCTTTGGGGGCGGCTCTGGGCCCCCGACCCCCACTGCCCTTCCTCAAGCCCGGGGCTGTGGACCCTTCCTCTCCCTGCTTTCAGGGCAGCTCTGGGCCCCCGACCCCCACTGCCCTTCCTCAAGCCCGGGGCTGTGGACCCTTCCTCTCCCTGCTTTGGGGGCGGCTCTGGGCCCCCGACCCCCACTGCCCTTCCTCAAGCCTGGGGCTGTGGACCCTTCCTCTCCCCTGCTTTGGGGGCGGCTCTGGGCCCCCCGACCCCCACTGCCCTTCCTCAAGCCTGGGGCTGTGGACCCTTCCTCTCCCCTGCTTTGGGGGCGGCTCTGGGCCCCCCGACCCCCATTGCCTTTCCTCAAGCCCGGGGCTGTGGACCCTCTCCCTGCTTTGGGGGCGGCGCTGTGCTCTGCATGGGTAGTTTGTACAGCCGGCCGGTGGCTTCTTTGCTCTGCTCTCCGTCCACACACAGGCCGGTGCCACCCGGAGGCCTCGCCCTCTGTCCCTGCGCCCCGGTCACAGCTAACAGGCTCCGCGCACCTCACACGCGTCACCTGCCATTTATCCTCCCAGTCCCCGCTACCACTGGGCCACACTGGCCAGGCCGTAAGTCTGGTATTGCTGAGTCCAGCTTGCTGATATTTTGTTGAGTGTTTTCGCATCAAGGATATTGGCCTGTAATTTTTTTGGGGCGGGGGTGGGGTGTCATGTCTTTATCTGGTTTGGGTATCGGAGCAATGCTGGCTTCCTAGGATGAGGAGGAAGCATTCCTTCCTCTTTGATTTTTCTTGAAGTCATTTAAGGATAGGGATTAATTCTTTAAATGTTTGGTGGAGTTCATTTGTGACGTCGTCTGGCCCCAGGCTTTTGTTTGCTGGGAGTTTTTGTGATTTCTGCTTTAATTTCATGACTAGTCAACAGTCTGTTCAGATTTTCTATTTTCTCCTGGTTCAGTCCTGGGCGGTTATATGCTTCTAGAAAAACTGAATTTGTTGGCGTCTTAACGTTTTATATTTTCTGTGGTATCATTTGTCACTTCTCTCATTTATGATTTTATTTGGGGTCTTATTCTTAATGAGTTTGGCTAAAGGTCTGTCAATTTTGAATTTTGTTTCTTTTCAAAGAACCAGCTCTAAGTTTCATTGATCTTTTTCTTTTGTGGGGGGGTGTTGTGGGGGTGGTTGTTCTTTTTCTAGTTCCTTTAGTTGTAAAATTAGTTTGGGATTTTTCTTGTTTCTTGAGGTGTATAGCTATGAACTTCCCTCTTACAACTGCTCTTACTGCATCTGTAAATTTTGAAAAGTTGTTTCATTTGTCTCATGGTAGTTTTTTTATTTCCTAATTGATTTTGATTGCTTGTTCAAGTGCTCAATAGGGTCTGTAACCCAAAAAGGTTGTGACTTATTAGTCTACATCTTTTTCCAAGACTTTTATACATTAATGCACTGCTGTGAAATGGTTCTAGATCAGCGGTTCTCAACCTGTGGGTCACGACCCTTTCACAGGGGTCGCCTAAGACCATCGGAAAACACGTATATAATGACATATTGTGTTTGTGATTAATCACTATGCTTTAATGATGTTCAATTTGTAACAATGAAATTGGGGGTCACCACAACATGAGGAACTGTATTAAAGGGTCACAGCATTAGGAAGGTTGAGAACCACTGTTCTAGAATATAAATGACTTGGGTCACTTCTACAATTTATATTGAATAATCTGTTACATTTAAATCCGTGCTGTTGTTTACCCAAGCTGCATAACCTGACCTTATTTCAAACCCCTTTTTCTCAACAGATAAAATATTTTGACAAAAGAAGAGACTACTTAAAATTTAAAGAGAAATTTGAAGCAGGACAGTTCCAGCCTCCAAACACCTCTGCCAAGTCCTAGGCTGCCCTGGCCTCTCCGAAAGGTAGACTCTTCTTTCTGGACATTTCCCAGTGCCCCACGGACTGTGAGAGCTGGTAGACATCAGTGCTTCTGCATATGTGACTTAATAATGAAAGTGGTCAGACAGTGGAGAATTGAAAGAGTGGTATGAAATATGCTGTTTTAATTTAGTAAGAAATCTATATTAAGAAGAAAATTAAAGCCTATTTTAAAAATACATGTACCTATTTTTTTGGTTAGAGGATGGCATTAGGCAAATATTGTAGATACTGAAAAAAACAGGTTGTCATATGTATCCTAGGAGTGACCATTTTAATAGCAGCACACACCAAAAAAATGGTGATTGGAAGAACTTAAACTAGACAGCTAAAATGAGGCTGTCTACAAACAGCTTAGCTAATATACTCAGTGTTGGCACGAGGAATGATTTTTCCCAAAAATCAGTAACAAGGTGAGGCTGTCCTCTCTCACTTCTATTCACTACTACACTGGATTCCTACCTACTTCACTAAGAAAAAAAGTAGTTTCTAGGAAAGAAATGATCTTTTAAAACTATAGTTTTATCTCCACGATTGCTTAAAACATTTTACTAAAGAAGCAATACAATTTAGCTAAATATGTTTATTAAAGAGGACAACCCATAGTAATATGTTTAAGGCACATGAAAAAGTTTGGCATTAAGTTATAAGGAAAAAACACATTATTTCAGTAAATTCAGAACTTGTTTCATTTTTCCGAATACTTTTAACCGTGTCAGTAGCAGCGACAGCTCTCAGAGGGCGGGGCCCTCACGCCTGGGCCCCTCGCCTGCCCTGCTGCCGGGCGTATTCCCAGATGAGCAGGGCCCCGCTCACGTGGACGTTGAGCGAGCGGGTGATGCCCCGCTGAGGGATCTCCACACACACGTCCAGCTGCTGGATCAGGCTGGCAGGGATGCCTTCACGCTCATTTCTGGTGGAAGGGGAGAAGAAAGGTTACTTTCCTTGTAATAACCGGCATTTTCTCAGGCATTCTGAATGTTAATACTCTGAATGTCTGAGAAAATGCCGGTTAATGGGAGAAAGGAAAATGAGGACAAAAAGCGTATGGGGCAATCCTGTGGCCCCTGAGCACCCCACAGGTGAAATGAAGTGAAAGGTCGGGGGGCTTCCCAGAAGCATCAGGTCACGGGGTCGAGCGCAGGTGGTGTCAGGTGCCGTGAGGGTCCGATAAACTACGGTTTCTGAACCGTTTTCTGGCTGAGCTGCGAGGAGGTTCTCACCCCAGCAGCAGCAGCGACCTCTCCGGGAAGCAGTACTGCGTCAGGGCCGTGCTCCGGGCCGTCTGCTCCACACCGATGACCGTGTAGCCCTCCGCCTGCTTCTGCCTCAGGTAGCCCGCCAGCTGCGGTGGCTTTACCTTCACACCCATTTAAAAGAGCAGAGAGTAAGTCATTCAGTCACAGCCCTAAGAGTAAAACCAGAGTTTAAAAAACTTACTAAACTGAGCTTAAGTCTTTTAAAAAAGAGTAGACACTATAAACAAGAACTCCCCCAACAGCACAGAAATGTATAAAAATGATTCCTACACCAGCAAGGCACGTTTTCCTGAAAGGAATCCTGCATGATTGATTTCTAAAAACACGATCACGTGGAAGATGATAAAGGAGCAGGAGAACAGCATTGGCCGCATTTTACTTTAGTGTTAAAGGCGGGGCTACTGTAAATTACTGCAAAGGGGCCGATACACGAAGATGGAGAACTACAGACCGAGCCAATCCACTCACACAGTGAGTCACTGCCACCCACCTCCACCAGAGGCAGCCACTGCTCCGCGGAGACGCTGAGCTGCTGGAACTGCTTGTCGCTGACGCACTGAAGGCTGCCGACCACCAGCGCTGCCGCCCCGAACACCTCGCAGGTGCGGCACAGGCCTGCGGAGCAAGGGGGCATCACCGTCCGCAGCACGAGGGTGGGCCCACTGTCCCCCACCCCGTGGCCCCCCCAGCGGGTCCTGCCTGGAAGGCAGCCCACACGGCCGTGTGCTGACGGGCCATTGGCAGGATCTAGAGTCTAAGCGAGGCCCCGACACACGGCTACCTCCTAAGTTGGTGGGCTTGTCGATGAGGGAGGCCACGACGATCAGGCGGCTGATGGCCTTGCCGAGCTTGGCGGCGCGATCCTGAAACGCCAGCTCCAGGTCGGCGTCGGGAGCAGCGTGTCTCCACGGGATCACCTTCTTCTGAACGTCAGTCCACTCGGATTGGTTGTCTGCTTCACCCGAGTGAGAGCCTGGGCAGGAAAGAAGAATCCCCCATGGCAACCAGTCCCCTCATATTCTGCACTATTACGTCACTGCGAGAGCCACAGGGGAAGCAGTTCACCGAGAGGACAGGAAAGGAACGGCCTGCGAGGGTGACGGCGGGTGAGTCCAGCTGGGAGGCATGGAGTGTACAGAGCTATGGAGTGCCCCGCGCTGGGAGAGCCAGGCAGAGGGAGACCTGAAGTTCAGTGAGGCCGTGGCTAGGGGTTCGGAACGAGAACCAGTGGGCTGGCGACGAGAACGCAGACCTCGGCACACAGCTGTTAGGGTCAGTGGTGGCTTTAAAATGGTGGGGCTTGGCCCTTGGATGGCTCAGGGCAGCGTGGCTGAGGGAGAGCAGCGGGAGGTGGTCCTAAGGGAGCCGGGGAGGAAGGCGATGGGAAGTGGTGGCCAACCAGCGAGGACTAGAACCAAGCGCTCTGCTTTACTCCTAAACGGGGCAAGAAATTCCATAATTTGGCCCCTTTTAAAATCTATATTTTACAGAAATATATAGTGGGAAACTGAATATGAACGATATTTCAGAGTAATATATAAGGAAGCAGATGAGGCTCCTGGCTTTTCATAGCAAAGCTCAGGCCCCTGAAAGTACTGTCAGTTACACCACTTTCCACCGCCTCTTCTCCACGGGGAGCCCTCGTGAAAGCTTTTATCAGCCGCCTGCTGTCACCGCAGCCACGGCCTGAGCAGGCAGCAGTGGGGAAGGGGAACACTTCTGTCACCTGCGTCCTGCTGAGCCCAGTCCCCCGGCCTCAGCTCGCGCAGCTGCGTCGCAGAAAGGTAGCGATGAGCCCCTGCCCCCGAGGGAAGGTCCGTGAACTTGGCAAACTTGTCGATGGCGATCCACTCGTCTTCAACAAGGCCTGCAAGGCGCGGAAGGATGTGAAATATGGTCTGAAAGAAAAGTGTAAAATCTAAACTTTCCCCCTTAAAAACATAAAAAGAGCAAAGAAATACATAACTGTTTAAAGTATAGCCTATTCTTACTAATGTATTTTCCCAAACTATGCTATCCGGTCAAATTACCTACCTTCTGTCTTGTAGCAACTGCCTATGTGTCTGACCGGCTTTTCTCAGAACCTGGCGAGCAGCAGGTCTCGCACACGCGTCCCTAATGCGCTAACAGCCACGGCTCTGCACGAGGCAGAGCGTCTGGAGTCAGTGCTGGTGCTGGGCAGCGTGTGGACACGTGCTGTTGACTGACCACCACCTTCTCCATAAGCAACAGGTCAAGCTCTCTTGGTGCCAAATCCTCCCTTTCACTGCCACCAGCTAAGCCATTCAGCCTCCCTTGGCTCCCACCTCCTCATTTGGAAAAGTGTGGCTAAAATGGGGTAAAACAGCTCATGGAAAGTGTTTGTAAACTGCGCAGTGGAAACAGTTGAGTCATCACGTAAACAGTCCTTTCTTTTTCTTACCTATTAGAACTGAGAACCAGGGAATCGCCAAAGGTCAAAGGCCAGGAGGAGCGGAAGCACAGGTAATAGGCAAGTTTAAAATGAAACAGTAAGTTTAGATCAACATGCAAGTCTTCATAAAAGTCTTTAGAATGAATATGGTTTTCTTCATGCAACATCTGTGTACATTTAAATTAGCATCATGATTGCAACTAGATAGTAAGCGGGTACCAATATGGCTACACATGTACGAGACGGAGTCTGACACAGAGTTAGGGTCCAATATGGCTACACATGTACGAGACGGAGTCTGACACAGAGTTAGGGTTCCTACTGGGAGTGGGAGTGAAATACACCACACGAGGGGGAGGCCGTCCAAGGCAGGAAAGGAAAGCAAGGACTTACTCCTGCGGGAACACAGTAGCAGGTGGGCAGGTGGACGTGACCTAAGAGGCACTAAACCCCGCAGGAGGAGGCAGGCGTGCGCCTGCGCACGAGGACACAGCACAGCGGGTGAAGTATCTGAAAACCCTGGGCAATGTCTGCTGTGGCGTCACGGAAAGCAGCTCATGTCCTGTGACGACCACCACAGCGCAGAGCTGTCCTTTTTAAAGGGCGGGGTGTTAGTGGCCCACCGAAGTAGGTCAGTGTGCACAGCAGCTGAGACGTCCAAGTTCTTCAGAGGAAAAGAACTTGGTCGAATGTTTTAATTCAGAGAGAAAGTAATGCCATTTCTACAAAGTTTAGTCACTTAGATATCAAGCTGATTGGCTAGTTGTAATAGACCTGTCCGTGGTTCTTGAAGTTCACTACATGAGCACATGTGGGAGGCGGGGTATCGCCTGCTATGCAGGTTCAGTCCCCAGGACCTAGACAAGGTGATTAACAAGAGTCCATCTTCCTGTTCTTTTAACAATGGGCTTCGTGACCACAGAATCTCACCTGCACAAGTGTTCTCACTCACTCCCTTTCAGTGTCAGAACAGGTTTCTGTTCAGTTAAACGCTGCCCTTCCCGTGTGTACAGCCTGACTACCTGAGAGACTGTGACAGTGACTGGCAGGCTCACTGCGTCGGCGTGGAATGAGGCAGCTCGTCTGCATACAGTGACGCAAACGCAGAGCTTCACAGCTCGAAGGGGAAGCAAGTGAGGGGAAGGGTGAGCTAGTCGTCACCCTTCAACGACGACGGCAAAGGAAGCGTCAGGACTAACGACAAGAGCATTTGCGGGATGGTGCTCACCTCCAGGCAGTAGTCCTGAAGCGGGTGAAACGCTGCAAAGAAGAAATGGTCTTGGATGCGCTGCCAGTTCCTCTTGGCGTTCCTAAGGGTGGGAAACACCGTGAGGCACAGGCAAGGGAGGGGAATCGGGCTCCTTCCTGGCTTACCCACCGCAGGGTTTAGAATGGAGGGAAGTGTGTTTTATCCTAAGGCTTATACACCTCTATCTCCAAGGTCAACACACTTTAGAAACTGACACTGCGTTTGACCTTCTGAAATGAGATGCAAAACAAGTAACTCTCTCAAAGTCATATGACTCACAAGAATGGGACCCAGGTCTGCACTGACATGTGGGGGTCACTCTAGGGGTGCAGAGGCCTGAGCCCCATCCGAGGTGACGGGCACCTGACAACAGGAAACACCTGGAGCGCCTGGCAGACGCCGGCCTGGCAGACATGACTGCCGGGCGGAGGGGCTCCGAGAGGGAGCAGTGTGAGGGGTCTGGGGGGACCCTTCAGCCTCTGGCATAAACTGCTGAGGAGAGAAAAGCGTCGCCCAAGTCCCTTTTTCTGCGCTAAGACTCACAGCCAAACTGGTACCAACTCGCACAGACCACAGGTTTCCCGTGAGCAGATCTGGGGTTCCTGGTGCACCTGTCACGGTTGGAGAGGGTTCTCGTCTGACCAGGCGAAGCGCTGACTCAGCGCCCTGTCTGCTGCGGGCTAACTTGGTCGGGCAGAGGCCCGACAACATGGCACTGACTTCCATCCCCGTTTGCTGCTTCCAGCCTCTGTGCACGGGTTTATGTAAAGCAGTGAGTGCGCTGAGCATGGGAAGAGACCTTTCCGTGGACCCCTGCGGCCTGGGTCTCGGCGCTGTGTGAGCCCTGGCACTCCTGGTGGTGGGTCAGTAATGATAACGCAGTGAGACACCACCTTAGACACAGCAGAAGCGATGCCTCCCCTGAGGGGCTCTGTAACGAACACCCTGCTCACGCGCCCCTCCATCCACAGGAGCAGTTCTACAAGGTCAGGGGAGCCGCCAGCAATCCGAACTGCACCTACCCTGCACAGCTAACGGCCGGCAGCTCTGCCACCCGGCTCTGCGCTCCCACGTGGCCTCAGCTGAGCCGAGGGGCGCCGCCTGCAGCTGTCCCGCCTCACCAGAGGGCTGCCGGCGTGTGCTTACCCTGCTCCCGGCGTGCTCTCCACCTGACTGAGGCTGGACTCGATCACGGACGCCAGAGCGTCCAGCTCCCCCATCCGCAGCGTCTTACACATGCCCCAGGCTTTGTTCAGCGCCACCAGCGCGTACAGGCGGACACTGAAGTTGTGGCTGAAGCCCCACTGCAGCGCGATGACCAGGGCCTGCTTCAGAGCCAGCCTCTGCAGAGGAGAAGAATCACTTCTTCAGTCCGCAGGCCGACGCTTTATCCACTGAGCCAAATCGGCCAGGGCATGGAATCACTTCTTCAGTGGCCACCGGCTGTGGCTGGGTGACCGCAAGGGGGACCTGGCATCACTGCGTCCCCGACGGGCTCCGGGCTCCCCACCCTCCAACCGAGACAGATGGACGTGCTGGCACGCGGTCCCCAGAGGCAGATCCCGTAACCCCGCGGTACTGCCCACCCTCCAGCACGTGTGCAAATTAAAATAACTTAGCGTCCTATTTGTACCACGTGCTAACTTGACGGTCAAGGCAAAGACCCAACAATATGGTAGAGTACCCCGCCCAACAGGCTTGTAGCCAGCTGGACTCACTGGGAGAAATTGCAGAAGACATAAGGGATATGTTACACTTACAAAAACTAGGACAAATATTAAAAGTTCGATTTTGATAGTCAAGTTTAAACTCTTCTTACAATTTAAACTCACCTTTTCTGGAAGGTTTTGAATAATGATGTCCAAATGTGACAAAACCGATAAGAACGTACAAATGCTCGTTTTAAGGTGTTCTTCACCCTGAAAAGAAATCAGGTAAAACGTCATTCAGGGCTTCTGTGCCATGTGACATGCGGGGCCAGCAGGGGGCAGTCTCTCCTGGTCACAGCTGCAGCCCAGGTACAGAACCAAATGCCAGTACACGCAACCAGCCAACTGTGAGGCATTGCCAACTTCCTGGGAAGTGAGTGGTGGGTGAGGGTGCTCATCTGGGGGGCGGTGAGGCCTGCAGGGTGAGCACTGGCTGGAGGGGAGGAGCCGGGGAGCAGGGAGCGAGCAGGCAGACAGCAAGACCAGCAGAGACACAGAGGCAGGTGGAGGCAGAGGCAGCGAGTGGCGAGGACAGGGCTCCGACGTTCAGGGGGCCTTGGCTTTGAAAATCCAGGATGAAAAGCCAGGGGAGAGCGTTGAAGTGGGTTCAGAAACCTTCCCACTAATTGTCATTGGGAATCACATCAATTTGTGATGATAAACTGACGGAAGCCACAGACTGAAGAGGCTGCAGACACTGCAGCTCCAGTGGTGGAGGAGGCGGGGACTCAGTGTGGAAATCGGACTCTCAGGAGCCTGACTGTGACCGTGAGGGGGTGACTGCAGGAGGGACAGAGCTCGGGGGGCAGCTCCATGGACAGAGGGTGGACACGAGTGACTTTAGCAGCTGTGGGGGCACCTGGTGAAGGAGAGACCGAGTATGGCCGACTGAGAGCAGAGGCCTGCATCGTACCCATCACGATCCTGTATCAACTCCTCAGAGATGATTCGGGTGCAGGAAATGCTGGGGGCGGGGGGGTGGACGAGGGACATGAAATAGAATGGAATAAACTGACGTCTGTTCCCAGCTGGGTGAGAGAGACCCTGAAGATTCTCATTAAAGCTGCGACTTAGGTGACGTCTAAAATTTACCTACTGGAAATGTCTTTAAAGTGTAAGGAGCACACTTAATTCTTCCTCATTCTTATTTCTAAGATCAGACACCACTTGGTAAGTAAGACTGTAGCACTGACCTATTTCCCTTCTTACTAACAAAAGCTTTTCCATCGTTACTCTGTTAGAGCAGACGAGCTCTCAAGGTGAGCCAGGCATGTCTGTCTCTTCAGTTAATTCCAAACACAACCTAGGATGTCAACACAATTGGGCCAGGGCAACTGAGAGTCAAGCAGCAACTAATGAAAGTGAAACCATCTCCCAGCACAGTCCACATCTTTTGTTAATTTAAAAAATGGGAAGAAATCTCCTTTACTTACACAAGAAAAACAATCCCAGAACTTCGGAAGAAACTGAGGAAATTTGTGCAGAATCAGTATAATAATCCACTCAATGTAATACTTGATGGACGCTTGGCTGTTGATGAAGCCAGCCTGAAAGATCTTGTCAATGATTCTATTCAAGAAATTCTGAGAAAAATAAAATTAAATTGTGTTATGGTTATTAATGGTCTTAAATTTATTTTTACTGAAATATAATTAACATATAACAATGTATAAATTTAAGGGATAAAAATGCTGACTCGATGCGTTGACATATCACAATACGATTACCACCGTGGCATTGACTAACAACTCTATCACATCACATAATTATTTCTTTTTTTGTGGTAGGAACAATTAAGAACTAGTTTCCTAGCAACTCTGAAACTGGTTATTAATTTTAACTTTAAAAATGCACTGAAAAATACTGCTAAAAAAAGCACAGCTTAAAGTTTCATTGTAAGCAACTCTTGGATCCACCACTCTGCTAACAATGGCCTTAAAAGCTGCTGACAGGCATGATGATGAGGTCCTTTTACTGACAGTTCACGTTTTACTTGGACATCAATCTGTGAGGAAGGTTTTTATTCTCGGTATTTTCACAGGGAAGAGAAAAGATTCAGAAAGGTAAGTGACTGTCTCCAAGCCACACATCTGGTAAGCGGCCGGATTCAGATCAACATGTGCCGAGATGCCCAAGTCAGCAGGCGGCAGATGGAGCCCAGCAGGAGCAGGCCCGGCCCCATCTCCTTGGACGCCTGCCCATCCGCCTGCCCATCCGCCTGCCCCACAGCTGACCAGTTCTTCTGGCCGAGAACCTGACCCCACAGTCCTCCCCCGCACCCCATCCTCCTCTTCAGAACCGCACTTCCCTCCGGGTAACTGAGCATCCCTCAGTAGCAGGTAGAACGCATCATCTCCGCGTGTAAACGTACGTATTATGTGTATTTCTTTATTTTAAAGAAGAAGAATGTACCTTAAGGAGGTTCTAACTGGTGGAAGAGGAGCAGAAAAGCCCATTTCAAGCCCCCGTGCCGGGCTGTAAAGTGGAGCGTGCGTCTGGGTTAGACCGGGTTGGGTCCCACCTTCACTGTCACTGCTTCCTAGACGACGCCACTGTGGTGTCCGCAGTACGGAGCCCACAGAGGCGCCCTCCACGCAACCAGCTGCCGAGGATCGGGGGCTTGGTGAGCTCTCAATGGCACATGGAACTGAACATTACAGCATCACATTAAAGTACTGAAAGGAAGAATCGTCACTGGGCCCAGGCAAACCAGTTTCTGGTTTATTTCCACAATCCCTAACTGCCTTCGCATTCTTTGTTAAAAAGTGTTCTGAGTGACTTCACTTTTAAGAACTGAAGTGTAAGTGCTAAGCAGATTACTTCCTCGTTTTCAAAGAGCAACATGACAGTCTCCACTGCAGTTTATTCACACGGAACCCTTATGCTAAGGGCACAGCTGCAGGGACTACTCACCTGGTCGAAGCGGGGGAAAAGCACCAGCAGGGTCTGCCACACTCGGTTTTGCACTCGGTGCTGCTGGGAGTTCGCGTAGCATCGCGTCCTGGACGAGGACACCAGTGCCTCCTGGGGTGGGGTCAACATGGGATCACTCGCTGAATCTGTGGCTGACGAAACAACATCAACCACAGCTTCAAACTCAGCCCCTGGTCCTCCAACCGGCAGGAAGGACAAGAAGACACTTGTTTAGTTTCCTTTCACAACAATGCATTTTGTTATTTGACTCGTCTGCTTTTAAAACTAGAAAGGAGCTATGTCATTGTCCAGCACACAGTCTTTGAGAAGCCTCCTTCCTCCTCTGTGGCTGGTGAAGGGGGAGACAGATACTGGACATGGTTCTCAAGGCACCAATACCTGCACAATCCCTCCTGCAGACAGTGCGATGCTCATTATAAATAATACTGCAGATTCAAAAAATAAATTCTTCACATTATGGCAGTTTCTAAATTTTTAGCTTTTTACTCTATTTCTTACATAAAACAACGGACGGATACATCACACTCAATGTGACTGGTTTTGACTGGTACCAGAAAGCACACGGAGGGAAGGTTAGAGTACAGGAAACACTTGTTCCCAAAAGCAACTTGAGTTGGACATCACTGAGACTTAACTAAAGATATGGAACGTAAGTCTCAGGGGGTTTTTGATAACAATATTTAGAAACATTTTGTCAACAAAAAGAGCAAATACAGTGGGGCCTTGACTTACGAGTTTAATGCGTTCCAAGACCGAGCTCGTTAAGGAGCTCGTTAACTCAAATTACTCTATCCACTCAATGCAAAAAATCGGCGGAGAGACTGCTGGTATCTCAAACTCGTTAGTCGGGACACTCGTAAGTCAAGGCCCCACTGTACTGAATTTTGACTTGTTAACTATACAAAAACAAAGATGCTTTAAAGTAACAAAAACGAAACACATTTACTTTCTCTAACAGCTTGATGGCAAGGTCTTCCATAAATGCCTTATGGGACGCACTGGAGTCATCTAACAAGCACAGGAATTTGACAGCACAAACTCTGACATAGTGGTCCTCTCTTTTGGTACTAAAAGTATGAGATGATAGTCTGTGTTAATACATGTTCACAACATAAAAATACCTCAGTTATTAGCTTCAAGACAACATAACAAATGTCAAAGCCTTCCCAAGTTCTCTAAAACTACGTGGGTCCACACTTGAGGGCAGTGCTCTGTAACTCAGGATGGGCAGTGGAATCATGGATGAATGGGTCAACTGAGTGCCTGTGCAGGAAGTCAGAACAGGCACACGGAAACCACACGCACAGCGGCCCTGGGCCAGCAATACCTCATCTGTGGACAAAACAGGTCAGAGCTCATAGAGCTATTCCTGAGTGAGGACCATGAACAGCTCTGTCCACTCAGGGGCAAGACTCCGCCTCCAATGCTGCAATGGCTCCTCCATGTTCTCTACGTGAAGGGCAAACTACATCCCAGCACGTTCAGTATCCGAATGTGGGAAGATAAAATAAGTGAAACTGTCGCCCAGCCGGGGTGGCTCAGTGGGTGAGCATCGACCTAGGAACCAGGAGGTCACAGTTCGATCTCCAGTCAGGGCACATGCCCGGGTTGTGGTCTCATCTCCAGTGGGGAGCCTGCAGGAGGCGGCCTGCCAGTGATTCTCTCTCATCATTGATGTTTCTACCTCTCTCTCCCTCTCCCGTCCTCTCTGGAATCAATAAAAATATATTTTAAAAAATTTAACAAATACAGAATGCTTCTCACGTGATGTTAAATTGTGAACATCCCATTCATGACAAGATGTGAGAAGTCCTCATACTTACTTTTCAATAACAACATTTGCCGCACAATCATGTCCAAGATTTTCAATAAAGGTCTGTACGTCCTGAATGAGTCTTCCCATAAAAAACATTTGACAAAGAACAACATGTTTTAGACAGGAAAAAAAAATTAAGGCCCCAAATTTAAATGAACTAAAACTTTGTATTCTGCTCATTGAAAGCCTCAAAATAAAAACAAGCCTACCCATGTAGGTACTTAATGTAAGTGAGGACAGGCTGAAATAATGACAGCTTTACCTCTGATCCCGCCTAAACACAGTTCCAAACACACAAGCCTCCAGGAGCAGCTCGCTGTAATCGGCAGCATTTGAAAAAGACCCCTGGGACACCCCTGGAGCAGGAACTCCCCACGACTGGCAGCAGTGAGTTATCAGCATATTGAAGACGCCGGTTTTTACAGCCGACATTTCAATCATCTGGTGCATAATCTGGAATGAAAAACAATGGTCACTGTACCCTTCGACCAAGCTAGTTGTTTTGTTTCCGAGAAACTACTGTTGCTAGAAACTGGGAATGCCTGCAAATGGGAGGTCCCACATAAGCATGAACAGCCCAGAAAATTAAAATGCTTTACCATTAGAACTTTGCAAGATGCCCAGCACTCACAGACTACGCATTTTCATTTCTCAGTAACAAGATGTCACTGGCGAATTCACCTAGAGCAGGGATGGCGAACCTTCTGAGCTCGGCGTGTCAGCATTTTGAAAAACCCTAACTTAACTCTGGTGCCGTGTCACATACAGAAATTTTTTGATATTTGCAACCATAGTAAAACAAAGGCTTATATTTTTGATATTTATTTTATATATTTCAATGCCATTTAACAAAGAAAAATCAACCAAAAAAATGAGTTTGCGTGTCACCTCTGACACACGTGTCATAGGTTCGCCATCGCTGACCTAGAACTTTCCACAGGAAGCACCGTCCACAGAGGCGAAAAGGAGGAAAAAATACCTCCCCCTGCACAGTTTCAGCTTCTCTGCATTTTGTCAGTGGCCTCCCTTCCCGAGTCAGCAAAGCCCTGGGCCCCACGGTGTGTGCGGGGCCAGGAAAGGGCTGAGTGGAGCGGGGCCGGCAGGTCATATATTCAGGATGGTTAAGACGGGAAGTTTTATGTATTTTTACCCCAATTAAAAGAAAGTTACCTCTTTTATTTTGAAATATGCCTGGCCCTTGATTTTTGCAGCAATGGTAAGAACTTTGGTATCAAAAACAAACTGAACAAAAGCTTTTAAGTTGGACCAGAACACCAGCTGAGTGTTGCTTAGAGTCGATATAATTTTCCAAGCCATGTCGAAGGCCTCTATGCAGACTGGCTCAGAGGAGGCCAGAAGCTGGAGGAAAAGAAAAAGAAATACATGACCACCACGCAGCTTCAGGAACGGTATCAGCCTGCAGTCGTTCCCTAACCCCTGGCTCACTGTCTCTACCTGGGGAACCAGCAGTTTCATGCAGCGAAACACAGGCAAAACGCGATCGGAGGGGAGGACCGTGAGGGCGGCGAGCGCAGCCTGCAGGGTCCGCGCTGGCGTCTGAAGGGGGGGCGGCACGGGGTCCAGGAGCGCGCCCTCCGAGGTGGGGGGAAGGGCGCGGTGCGTCCTCAGCAGGAAGGAGAGGCAGACCCACTGGTCGTGGACGTACTGCGCAGCTATCCGGCCCCAGCCCGGGGAAGACGACGGTTCTTCCGGAAGACTGAAACAGAGAGTCGCGTCACTGCTGTCCTTCCTCACGTCTGGCTCAGCTCCGTTAAGTCCCTACTAGGCATCCTGTTACCGAAACAGGGAACACACGCACCTCGACTTCTAACTTCCGTAAAGACAGTCATTCCCCCACGTCATGACTCACTGGAAACTAAATGCGGAAAGTTTATGGGTGTCCGTAACGGAGACGAACAACGTGGGACCCGAGATCACCCTGAACAGAGCGTCGGGCGGGCGATGCCCTGGAACAAGCCTGGGTTCCCCACGCGAGCAGCAGGACGCCTCGCGGACACACTGCCCCCCGAGGGGACACACCTGCTCTGCTCCTCCGGCTGCGGCTTCTGCAGCCTCTGACCGAGCGGGAGGGCGGCGAGGAGCTGCTCCGGGGGCCCAGCATCCGGAGGGTCCAGCTGCAGCTCCGGCGTCTGGTCGAGGGCCGCACACACCTCACACACCGCGGCCAAGGCGGCCATGCTGACCGCCCTCTGCACCTGCCTCCCGAGCGTGGGCACCTGAGCAGGAAACCGTGCCCGTCACTCACCCGGAGCCGAGTGGTGTGAGGACGGCCGTCGCCACTTTCCTAGGCACCTGACACGAGGGGAACCCTACCCTCCTCAAATACTACAGACAAAGGGAGTGATTTTAAAGTCAAGTTTCAGCAGATGCGTTTTAGGATCAATCTGTATTCCACGTAAGCCTTCCCCGCAGAACTACAAGATTACCAGCCCGCTGTCCGTGTCCTGCAGGTGCCGGATGGATGCGTTCCTCAAAGGAGCAATGATTCTCAGGATGGGGCTGCCTCGCTCCCCCCACTTCCCAGGGAGGCCCGCCAGCTCAGCGAAGACCTGCAGGTACAGGTGGCAGCGATCCAGGTCTGCAACCTGCGACAGACAGCAACACATCAACCAGCAGGGCCCACGACTGTCAAAACACGACGAGGTCAGACAGGAAGTGGTTTGTGTGAAGCACTCACACACGCTGAGAAAGGCCATTCCCCAGGGGCCCTCCACGCTGTCCCCACGCAGCCAGGCCTCCTCCTCCGAGAGCCCGCGGGGACCCGCCTGCTGCGCAGCCACCTCACCAACCACCGCTGACAGCTGTTCCCGGAAGTGGAGCAGCTCCCCCGGCCTCTCCGAGCCCGAGAGGAAGGGGCCGGAATGAACCGCGGGTCGTGGACCCGGCAGAACAGGACTCAGTCCCGTTTGACCTCCCGCCTGCTCTGTGGTCTCTGGCAGCTCCTGAGGCCCAAGCTCCTGTCCACACGGTGGGGAGGGTCACGTGTGCCCACCCCAGGGATTTTGAGAGACTGAGAGCATGCTGAACGGACGGCACCGCATGGCGATGATTAGGCCGTAGCCATCACTGTGCCCGGCGAGGCCTGCTCTGGCACGGAGGAAGCAGAGGCTTCAGGAACCTAATCGGGTCTCACTGAGCACCACTCATGCAGGCACTTTGCCGGTGCGGGAGGTGCTGCGGTTCTAGCAGCTGGTGGGTGACAGTGCATTTGGTGAGAGGGGGGCCTGGGGAAGCTCCTGGAGAGCCGATGGGGGCTGCTGCGAACACCTGAGAGGCAGGTTCGACTCTGGGTCAGGGCACACGCCCAGGTTGTCAGTTGTGGAACCAATGGATGCGATGAGACAGAACCACTCTGTGGACGATCCTAACACCCAGCACCTCCCAGGCGGGGTGTGAGCAGGAGGGAGCTGCACGGTGTTTCTCTCCCTCCCTCCGTCTCTCTAAAATCAATAAAAACTAACATAAAACAAGAAGGATGAAAGTCACCCCATGAATACTCACACTGCTCAGTTCATTCATAGTGAGTCTCCGGAGGAGGAAGTTGGAGATGCTCTCTGTGGCGGACGCGACCAAGTCCTGAAGGAGAGGAGACACCTCATCTGTGTGGGGAAAAGTGTGCAGCTAAGTGGCAGAAATCAGTTGTTTGGTACAAGACACCGCAATCTAGTACAATCTAGTAAAGTATAACTATGGTAAGCCCATGGGTGAGCCACTGACCAAAAGCGGATTCTAAAAATGTAACAGTCACCTCACTGTGGGGAGCCTGGAACTGACCCTGGAAGCCCTCTGGGGGTTCTGGCCCGACAGGCGGCATTCGGTTCTGCTGCCATCACCCAAAATACCAGAACTCTGAACCCAGCTCTCCTATCCCATAAGCATATATTAAAACTAACCTCATCGATATTATCCTCAGGTTTTACCTAAAACCAGTGTTTCTCTAGAATTTTTAAAACTTTAAATTTCTTCAATCCAAATGAAAGTGGTCGGAAAGGACTGGGAAGCCAGGCTTACGCTCACGTGCTCATCGCTAGTGCCCACGGCTTCCCACTGATGCGCACACATCGTGGTCTAAGGACAGAAGTAAGAGCGCCACGCTTCCATCTGCTTCTGCGATACTTTCTATGGGAAGGACTTTCTGCTTAAAGGCGCTCAGAGATGGACATACTTAAAAAATGAATATAAAAGTACTGCCATTCTCATGGTTTAGATTACTTTCTGCAGCACCTAGCCCAGAGGTAACTGGAAATGGATCTTGCTTTAAAATATAAAATAGGGATCATTGTCAAGGGTCTAAAAATCAAGGAATAAACAATTTTTTAAAAAGACAGAAGCAAATGAATCCCATTCTAAAGTCAAGGGTACCCAGAAGATGTCAACACCGCAGTGTCAGCCCCGGGGGACGCTTGGCCCCTTCCCGCACCTGCCCCGTAGGAGAGACCAGGTGAGGATCTCCGCTTATTCTAAACACCAACAAGGTACCGAGCGAGTTCAGAGACCGTCCTCACCATCGCGGGCACTGGCGCCCTTCGGCGAGCACGTGCGCAGCAGCGTCACCAGCGCCTGCAGGCACCTGTCCGTCTTCCGCAGGGGCAGGTAGGCGTTCGAACCCAACTTGGTGAGGGCGTCCAGGAGGGGCTCTAGGAATAGCCTCAGCACGTTCTGTGTCCTCTGCCTCTCACTAGACATTGAGAAACACCAAGAATTTCCAAAGCATAAAGAAACGACCTCCCTGTCGTTCGTGGAGCTGATGGACTCAGTGGGGCAGAGCCACCCCTGTGGCGAGCCCAACACCAGCGCCTCTGGACTGACCTCTCCCCGACCTGCTGGCGGAGCCCGGGTCTGCCCTTCCCGGGAGAGCAGCGAGGCACCAGGGGAAAAGCTCAGGAAGAACCAATGTGCTCGCTCTGGGCACAGTAGGAAGCACAGTTCTACCTGCAAAGTAAAATGCCGAGGCCCTGGCTCCCAATCAAAAACACACATGCTAGTCAAGGCGAGGAGATGAGACATGTTAAATATAATATACATATATATACACATGTATACATACACACACACACACACACACACACACACACATATGCATTGTGTGTGTGTGTGTGTGTATATATGTATATCCTATAGAGCAATATAAGCCCAGCGACCAAACAGCAGAATGACCAGAACGACCGGTCTACTAGTCGCTATGATGCGCACTGACCACCAGGGGGCAGACTCTCAATGCAGGAGCTGCCCCCTGGTGGTCAGTGTGCTCCCACAGTGGGAGCGCCACTCAGCTGACCAGGATGAGCAGCTGCTCCTGCTGCAAACCCCAGGTCTACGGGCAGGAACCTGGGCTGTGATCGTGGTCTCCTCACCCCAGGCTCTCTCTGCTGCCTCCTCCGGACTCCTGCAGGCCGCCCCAGGCTTGGAGAGGGACTGAGGCCTACTCCTCCGCCTCTCAGTGCTATTGTCCCTGGGCCGGCCCCAACCAGGTCCCCTGGAGAGGCGAGTGCTCCAGCTCCACGGAAGATGCCAGACCAGGGAGCAGCTGCTCAGAGGGCAGATCCACAGCCGCTCAGCTGACCTGGATGAGCAACACTCCCACAGCGAGCTGATCCCCGCAGGTCACGCCCTCCACCAGTGCACAAATCTGTGCACCAGGCCGTGTGTGTGTGTGTGTGTGTGTGTTAAAGATCTATGAAAAACTGTTATAACCAACTAGCACTAAAACTGTCTAGAAAAGAGTTGATGTAACCAAAGTAACTGCATATCATGCAATACACGGCCTCAGGAAGCTGCTTTTTGCAACAATTATCATCTGAGAGAACTGATCTGCTCACATCTTCCAAATATGAGACTGTTTTATCTTTATTCCTTTTTTTTAAAATTATGTGTTTACCAAGGAATTAAATAGATCATTTCTTCATCTAATCTTATCCTAGGATCTTACAAACCATTCTTCTAATATTCTGATATAAAACCTGGGATTACTGTAGTTTGTCTAACTTTCTCTAACAGTTTACCAACCTGAGAGCCTTTCGCACTATTAATCTATTGTTAACTTATAATTAACGTGCTCCCCGTGCCCCAGGCCCTTCCTTTCCTGCCCTGTGGTCAGTTCCAGGCCGACCGGGGACAAGGCTGAATGTGCCCCACACCCCCGAGCAGCCTTTTCTGGGGAAGCTGTTTTCAAGCTGAAAAGCGCTTACCTGTGTTGGACCTTTCTTCCTTCCACGTCCACAGCCAGTAAGACCATCAGAGCAACCAGCTTGGCTTCCGCCCAGTCCGGCATCCGGCCGTTTTCTCCTGCTTCAGGAAGGACAGGCGGGTTTGCAAAGCATTAACAGAACCTGCCAAAGAGGAGGCTTCAGAAACAACGGCTCAGTGACTGTCTCACCGACACCCAATTATAACAGAGCGCGGCCGAGGTGACACGCTTGTGTCACACACACTGAGCTATGAGTAGCCCATCTCTGCAGGCCTGGTCCCTCCATCCTTCTCTCTTTCCATTCCATTCGGTAAAGCCCATATCTTGATCTGAAAACTAGATAAAGTTCTTTGAAAACCCTTTGGTTCCACCAATCCAGAAAAGTGATCTCAGACTTACTTTCCCAAGCAGGTGACGTGATATACTCTTGAACGAGGCTCTTGACGTAAGCGTTTAAAGAGCACGTCTCCTGAAGTCCAAGGGAGCCACAAGTTGAGGGTCGTCCAAAACAGCTTTCATTAACACGCAACCAGTCACAGAGCTGGGAAAGACAACATTATTACTTTATTTTAAAAACCTACCCGAACAAAGGGTTTCTAATTTCCTGAAGCCAATTTGTTTTCTTCCACAACAAACTGAACTGAAATGACTGAATATAACAAAGTAATAAAACGTTTTCTGCCACAACTAAGTTGCACAGAGAGTGTTAACAGAAAACGTATGCGTGCTTTCTACCCTCCATCCGAGATTTTATCAACTTCACGAACAGGCCTTTAGAGTACCTCATATAAAATGCACATGTGATAAGCTCTTGTAAAGAACACGTCTGTGAAAAATAGCACATTATGTAAAACAAATTACAACCTTAAAATAAAACTCATCCTAGCTTCATGTACTAAAACAAGAATGTTTATTTTTGAGAGAATGTGAATTTGAAATGTAAGTTATAATTAAAGTCCCTGCCTCCTCACAAGTTTATTTTCTATCCTATGTGCATTTTAAAATACATTAATTTAAAAGAGAAATTCTGTCCTAGCCCTTCTCCATTACACCTTTTAGAAGATTTGCAAAACTAAGTCACAGAACTTCCCAGAATTCCTTTCATCATATGTAACTGTGAAATCTATGTTCTCAACTTCCTTTTTCCGATATATCTTGATGTGCAAATGCACACATGAAGTTAAATATAAAGTAAATAACTAGGTCTTTCTAAAAGGTAAGAATTTAAAAAAAAAAAAAAGTTTTGCATCCATCAAGGTAACCCCAGATACATGTACGGAGACATAATGATGATGAAACTAAGAATACCCCACCTGACCAAGGACAAAGCTGATGAGTGAATAAATCAGTCGAGACTAATACTGGCCCCCAGAGGGGCCAATGAGGGAGCCGCTCAGCCCGTGAAGGAGGCCGCGCGTGTGGGTCCTTAGCAAGCAGAGACGTCTAGCAGTGAGGCCAGCTAGTACTGCTCTCTCCACAGCAGGTACTTTATGCTCCTCTCACACTGGCTAGTGATGGAGTCAGTCAGCAAACATGTTTGTAAGATTTCAGAGGCCTTGTCACCAGACCATTCCCGTCTCACCTCTGTCCACAGTGCCGTTCCCCGGCCCAGGGACTCCTCCTGTCTCAGAGACATAAGAAACGCAGAGATGTCGGACAGCGACACTTCCTCCTGGGGGGGCGGGGGGCAGACGTGTTTTTAATAGTTACTCATTTTAAGTCTTCTACTTGAATAAAAGAAAATCACCGTAAAAGCAACTTAGTATACTAAAGTACGTTAGTGAAATATTTAAAAAAACCTATTTTTTAAAAAATATTATTCGACTTCTGAAATGAAGATATTGATTAGAACCAACCCATTATGTAAAATAAAAGATTGTTTTATAAATGTATTTTCCTTAAAATCAAGGTTACTATCTCACAGATAAGATGGTCACTATCTAAAAACAAAACTTCCTACAAGAAATTACTTATTACTTAACCCAAAAGTGATTCTTACTCTTCAAAGCTAAAAAATGACCCCTGGCTTAAAGCTACCCAGGCTTTTACTCCCTGAAGCTTGTGAGTCTTGAACTAAGACCCCTTGCTCTAGGCCAGAGGCCGGCAAAGCCACCCACAGCCTGTTTTGTAAATAAAGTTTTATTGAGCACAGCCACATTCATCCACTCACCAACTGTCTATGGCTGCTTTTGAGTGGTTGTGCCAGAGACCGTATGACTCGCAGAGCCTTAAATACATACTGGTCCCCCGTCACAACCACGGTGTTATGGGGGCTCCATAAAAACACACTAAGGACAGGACACATCCCTGACGTCGATTCCCTGGGAGACGTGTGGGGAAGGAGAGGAGACAGGGACAGCGCCTGAGCGTCCTCTGCCAGGGGAGCCCCCGACGTCTCAGTTCCCAGCGACATGCAAACTCCTCCCGGGGAGGCTCCTGAGACCCGGGTGTCCCTGATACAAGACACTGTGCAGAGCCACTGCCCACACTCCAGGCGCCCGGAGGCAGCCGTCAGGACAGGCCACGTGGTTTGTGGGAGCACTGCAGGCAGAGAGCCGCTCTCATGGGTCCGAGAGCGAGCCCTCTCCAAGTACGCGTTCCCGGCGTCAGCCAGGGGCCGACCGTGAAACGAACAGGGCTCGCAGGCCTGCTACGTCCACTTCCGCACACCCACCCGCTCGGAAAGACGTGCACACGGGTGAATGGATGCACTTACCACGTCGACCAGGTTCATGGCCGCGTGGAGCAGATGGCACTGGGCGGCCCCGCGCAGCAGGATCTGGTGTGTGGCCATGGTGCACTGGAGGACGCCCCTGACACGACAACAGAGTTCACCCCACATCCACAGACGGCTGCAGTCAGCTGTTACTGACAGGCTGGTGTAACAGCTACCACTACGGACTCCCCAGTAAGGTCACTAATAGAGCGCCATTTCAGTAGCAAACACATCTCTTTTAAAAACAATGAGACCAGAAATGAAGATCCTTTAAAATAAGAATTTTACACTTAAAAAAACAACTTTGTAGTCTAGTTTCCTACATGTCAATGTAATAAAAAAAACCTACTGGCCTTATTTTAAAGTGGTTATAGCATACATTATGGCACATACTTAAATTAGTAATTCATAAAACAAAATAAGTTCAATTAAATTTTTTTTTTAATAAAATTAAGAGCTCAAACATCCTAATGTGAATATTAACTAAAACCATTTGCTAGAGCCTAGGCTGGTGTTCCCAGTGGTTAGAGCCACCCCACCCACCAAAGGGCCTCGGGTTCGATTCCCAGTCAAGGGCACAAACCTGGGTTGCAGGTTTGACCCTCAGGCCCGGTCAGGGCGTGTGTGAGAGGAAACCAATAGATGCACCTCCCTCACATCAATGTTTCTTTCTCAATCTCTCTCTCTCCCACTTCTTCCCTCCCTCCCTCCCTCCCTCCCTCTCTCTCTCCCTAAAAATCAATGGGAAAACCATCCCCAGGTTAACAGGAAGCACCAGCCCCCCATGTGAGCACCCAGACCCAGTACCTGAGGGCCAGGAGGCCTTCCAGACCCAGGGCTTTGCATCTCGGGACGCTGGCCAAAGCCTTAGACAGAAACAAAATGGGAACAGCACACCAATGTCTACTCGACATCTTCTGAATCCATTTTAACAAAAAACTACCTGAAAGAAAGAGTTTTAAATATCACCGTTGCCAACAGCACGTGACCACACGCTCAGCATCATTAGCCATTAGGTAGGAAAAGCAATTCAAAGACCCTAATGCGATGAACTTCACACCCACAAGTCCGCGGTCTTAAAAGGACCGGCAATAGCCAGGAATATTCACATACAGGTTTTGGCATAAACAGTGCTTTCCATTCGTGACCTGGGGCACAAAGTCTCCCAAAAGGCAAGTGTATTCCTCTCTCTGCTTTCCTAAGTCAACGGCTATGAAGGGGCTTCACCACACGGATATTCTGTTTGCACCTTTTCCCTAAAGCCTGGTTCTCTCTTCCTTCCGCCCATTTTACTGATTTTTGAAAGTCAATAGAAACAAGTAGAAAAGGGGGCACGTGGCCACACCCCTCCTGACGGCCCGCCATGGGCTCACGCCAACACTGGGGTCAGTCACGTAGGAACGTGTGCCTAGTGACGGCGCACACCTGCATAAGCCTGGCAATTTGCATATCCTCGAAAAAGGAAACTATTTTGATAATACTGAGTATAACGGTCATAGGATGATGCTTATAACCAATGTACTAAAATAAATAAACCTTTAAAGGTAACAAATTAAAAAAAGAAAACCTTTACTGCACATACTCTTTAGTTCTTCTGGAAGAAGAGAAACATAAGCAGCTAAAAATCTCTGTAGTTTCAATCCCAGTGGAGACCCACTTCCTATCTGCTGGCCCGGCGACCTAGACAGAGAGGAAGGACACACATTTAAAATGTATTTACAAATGAGCATCATGGAAACTAAATGGACTGTGGCCCAAAGTTCTTTTAATAAAACAATGGGACCATCTTTTATTTCTGAACCTACTTTTTATTTTTCAGTAAAATGCTGAGGATCCTTCCGATTACAAAACACCAGGACCTTCTAGGGCAGCGGTTCTCAACCTGTGGGTTGCGAACCCTTTGGGGGTCGAAAGACCCTTTCACAGGGGTCACCTAGGACCATCGGAAAACACATCTATAATTACATATTGTTTTTGTGATTAATCACTATGCTTTAATGATGTTCAATTTGTAACAATGAAATTGGGGGTCACCACAACACGAGGAACTGTATGAAAGGGTCGCGGCATTAGGAAGGTTGAGAACCACTGCTCTAGGGAAACGGACCTGGGTTAATAACGTGCTGTGCTAAGTCGGCACGGCATGGACTTCCATTTCATGACACTTTCCCTGACACAAATGTACGGAACTTTCTAAGTAGTATCACTTTTTAAAAAGTCTAAATATGATCATTTAAAATGACATTTTATTACTTCCAATATATAATCCAAGGCTTTTAAATCTTTGGGTATTAAATAGAAGAAAGACGTGTTAGGAATAAGTCACTTTTGTAAGAGCACTTGTTTGTTAACATCTACTAAAGTCACCTTTTCTCGCTACATGGTTCTTCCAGAAACGTCACCTGCTAACTGAACAGAGCGCTAGAGAACGGCCTCTCGTTGTAGCTGTGTCTGTGGCTTTAGAAAGGTTGGCTTTCCTGCTCCCCGGCTATCTAATCGCTTCAGACAACTAGTCAGTCATGAGTTATTTGAAAACTAAAAGTAATTGGCAAGTCAAGCATTGCTATCCTCCTTCGATATTTATCAGATGCGACTAAATACCAATATAACTTAGCACTAAGTTAAACTTTTTAAAGAAATTGGCGGTGGGAGGTTTTCCCCTGTTTAGAGGTGTACCAAGTGGAAGACTTGCAAGCATGAATTTGAACCGGACGGGTTGGTGCGAACCCCTGGTTTTTAATGCGGTGGGTGGACAGACAGACAGACTCTGAACTAGAGAGGGGTGGGCCAGTCTGCTCAGCAGACAGAACTGAGAAACAGATGCGCACACACAGGGAGAGCGCAACTGAGCAAATGTGGTAAAACGTTAACATCTGGGGAATATAGAGGAAAGGTAGGTGGGATTCTTTGTATTATTCTCAGGACTTTTAAGTTACAATAAAAAGTTTAAAAAGTTTTAAAAAAAAGTGTAAAGTGTTGGTTAGCCAGTCACTACAATGTCCAAGAGGGCAGAGAGGAGGGAGAACAGAGGTGAGAAAGGAGGTTGTGTAAGACATACCTTCCCAAGCCCAGGACGGAAGGGCTCAGGTAGGAAAGGAAACCAGGAAAGAGAAGGAGCGCTTGATACAACAGAAGAAAGGCAAGAAGAACAGCAAGCAGGAGAGGCGACAGGATAAGAAAAGGTTGAATGTCTACTAGGCAACATACATTATGTACCAAATGCATGAACCAATCTGGTCATTTTGCATGAACACGTTAAAGTTATTTATCAAATACAAATGACCGCATTGCTGCTAAATAACATCGTATGTGTTTACCTGCCATAGAGAGAGCTCTCTGAAAGTGCGTCCATTAATGGTCCAATAATAAACTAAAAAGAAAAGTATCTGATGTTAAGTCGCAACCATAACTTGGAAGTGAGCTTGCCTCGGCTGCACATCTACCCAGGGTGCCGAAGAGCCATGCTAAGCGCAGCTGACCTCTGACCTCTTGCGCTGTGGGTTAATTTACGACAGACAGTCATGGAGGGTCTCTAAGTTGAGAATTTTCTCACCTGATAAAAACATATAAAAGAGAGAGTTCGAGTTGGGTCAAGAAGGAAGAAAGGGAACCCAAAACAGAAACACATGTGGAAATAAAGGGAGTAACAAAGGAAACACGGAAAGATACCTAAGAGAAAATTTAAGCCCTTATGCCTGGAAGGTGGGGGGAGGGGATTATATCTTCAAAAATGTAATAAAAATGTGTTACTAGACATTGATCAAAAACACAAGCTAACAGGAAGTGCAGGGGCTGGGGAGGGGGAAACTGAGGCACACCCAACACTACAGCACATGAGAGAGAACTGGGAGGAAAGGCTGTCGTTACCTCCGAAAGCTCCGGTGAAAACGGAAGCACCTTCGTTTCATAGAGCTGCAAGAAATGGGTAACCCCTTCCTTGGCCAGGGTTTTGTTCTCGCTTTCCAACATTCTTTTGTAGACACACAGGTGCCAGGAGGGGTGCAGGAGCCACCGTCCTGCGGGAGAATCTCGGGGTGACACTGGGCCCACACTTTGCTGGTCCACGTAGGCTATACAGTCATCAACAAATACCCTCACGGCACATAACTTCCTCCCAACTCCACAGAAGTGAGTTTGTGTTTAATCCCATCCATGGAACTTATAATCAAAATTATTTTCTCATGGAAAACCAACAAAAATCAAGTGAAAATAGTACATCTGACTCACCCCTTTATCCCAGTCCTTAGCATAAATCGGACACTACTAAGTAAACTTCTAATTGAGGGGGAAAATGGGATAAATATGTGCTCTAGAGATAGTGACTCTTTTGACATATCCTTTAATTCTGTTAGAAAAAAAATCAGCATTTTTAACTCATGGCATTCTATAAATAAACCGGTCCATTATTTGTAATTTACACCAAGATACTTTGACAATGGTGATTTTTCAAAACCTGTCATTGCTATTTAATTTAGTTTTCCAAGAGCTCTGGGCAAAACATAGTAATAAGAGAATCATTTTAATAGTAAATGTCTAAGTGAAATCACAACAGCATTCAATTATATGCTAGCCCCAAGCAAGACAATGGATTCTCAGTCTGTGAAAAATCCAGTATCTCAGGAAACTATAGCAATCAGCTCAATAAAGCTCAATTCCCAAGGAAATCTATTAAAGTTGTAACGTCCTAGAGTAGGCACTAAACTCTTTACATAGGTTAATTCTCATGTGTGAACACGGTAATGCAGAATTTCATCATTAAAACACTGTTAGCATTTCACTGATCTAAACGTAATTTCATAAAATTCTAAAGGAAGCTCTAGCTTCATTTTATTTCTCCTAGAAGGCTCTCATAATAGAGTATTCAAGGCTTAAACACCATATTTGAAATTATATCTTGGAATTTTCTGTTCCTGAGAAGTCCAAGGTATAGAACTGAAACCCCTAAACCAGGGGTCCTCAAACTTTTTAAACAGGGGGCCAGTTCACTGTCCCTCAGACCGATGGAGGGCCGGACTATAGTTTAAAAAAAGAACTATGAACAAGTTCCTATGCACAACTGCACGTATCTTATTCTGAAGTAAAAAAACAAAACGGGAACAAATACAATATTTGTATTTGCATGTGGCCCGTGGGCCGTAGTTTGAGGACCCCTGCCCTAAACAGTAACTAACAAACAATGACACAGATATATTTAGAGAATAAGAATGGAAAGCAGTTAAAATATAGAATAACAAAGAGCTACTATTTAAAGTGTAGAATACAGCGTCATTAAGACATGCCCAGAATCCTTCTCTTTTAGGGATATCTGCTGACAACTGCAGAGATCTGCTGCTGGGGAGGTGCCTGCGGGTGTGGGAGGGGCTGGAGAGGCTGCACCTGAGATAGGGCACAGGCTGGCCACAGTGCAGGCTGGGTGATGGGTTCATCATGCAAACTCTTCTCCTGTAAACTGACATCTTCCGTCATCAAGTGTTTAGAGAATTGCCCGTGTCTCTAAATCACAGGAAACTCTGCCGCCATTTAAAAACCATATTCTCAGACTACCTAAGGCAGTGGTTCTCAACCTTCCTAATGCTGCGACCCTTTAATACAGCTCCTCATGTTGTGGTGACCCCCAATTTCATTGTGACAAATTGAACATAATTAAAGCATAGCGATTAATCACAAAAACATGTAATTATATATGTGTTTACCGATGGTCTTAGGCGACCCCTGTGAAAGGGTCGTTCGACCCCCCAAGGGGTTGCGATCTACAGGTTGAGAACCGCTGACCTAAGGTGATATGCAGATGCATTTGGATAGACTGCTAAGTGAGAAGAAAATGTTACCATCAGTGCAGAAGATACACTATGCAATGTTAGTAGCAGATTCTCACCTTCTTTACACTTTTGTGGTTTTTCCCAATTCTAACATCAAAGGGGAAAAACGACAAATGTTATTAAGAAATCAACAAAAAGTAACCATTACCGGTTTCCTCTGACACCGCATATTCAAACAGGCTGTTTAGCTTTGGCAAAACTGGCTTTATCACATGTATCTGAAAACAAAAGCAAAAAGCCACATGAAATGAAAATCAGCCTTTAAAATCTTACAGGAATTTTAATCTATTTACGTAACAGCAGCCCTCCTGTTCCCCACCCCTATGTAAAAAATAAGCATGAGGCCTAATTCTTTTAGTTTTTAAGTAATAAAAATTCATGTAAGAGTGTGACAAAGATAATGATTATAACCTAGAATACAGTGACAACAATTTGCATATAGACAGTGAATATTATACATTATGTCACAAAATCCTCAACTGTTCTGAGAAATAGGGCTGGTCATACGTGTATATTACAAAGAAGAAAAAACACGGAGATACATTCTCACTCGAGTTGCTCAAGGCCACACATTTTTTTAAAAATTTTTTTTAAAATATATTTTATTGATTTTTTACAGAGAGGAAGGGAGAGGGATAGAGAGTTAGAAACATCGATGAGAGAGAAACATCGATCAGCTGCCTCCTACACATTCCCCACTGGGGATATGCCCGCAACCCAGGTACATGCCCTTGACCGGAATCGAACCTGGGACCTTTCAGTCCACAGGCCAACGCTCTATCCACTGAGCCAAACCGGTTAGGGCAAGGCCACACATTTAGAAGTCAAGCCAGTTCAATGTTCTTCGTGCTTAGCCTGTGTTGCAGGTTCCAGTCTAATTTATGTATCTTCCAAATATACATAAACCAGTTTCTAAATAAACAGTGGGGGTATTATGGATCTATTGACAAAGGAAAACCAGAAAAGTTTATTTGAATTTAGAAATCCTCTTTCTTTATTCCTCATCCTTTAATTCAGTCCACAGTGCTTGCTGCAAATGTGGGCGGAGGCCTGGGCGATTCCACCGCTGGCTGCACCCCCAAGAGGTCTGCAGCTCACAAACGGGGAACGCCTAGACCGGGGTTCTCAAGTGTGGTCCCCACAGCAGCGGCAGGGGTGTCTCCTAGGATCCGATAAAATATTCAAACTCTCAGGGCCACCTCAGACCTACCGAATCAGGAACCGGGGAGCGGGCCCAGCTATTTATACTTTAACAAGCCACATGGGGGATTCGAATGAATGTTCAAGTTTGAGAACCACTGCACTAGATTCGGTCATCTTAGGAGATTCTGCTCAACTTAAAAACTTTATGATTCTACAAAAACTGATTTGAAGTCCACTGACAATGATTTTTCAAGTCTCCATCCTTAGGACCAGGTTGGCACAGATATAACAACTAAGAAAAAAAACAAAACACCTACAAAATTAAAAGGCAATTATTTACTTAGTAACCATTTACCTCAGAATAGCTTTAATCCTTTGAGTGCCAACCAATATCCTGGAACCTGGAAACTATGCTAAAATTGCCAAGGCATTTTTGCTGATTTTACAGCAATTTAGGAAGAAAATTATGAATCGCAAGTAAATGAAGTTACATATTCAAAAACTTAAGGAAACCTTTATTACACTGGCATATTTAGCAATAACATCATCACTAATAAAAGCAGACTTAGTACTGGACGCCATTTCGAAGCTTTGATAGCGCCCCCGGGACTTTTGGCGAAAGACAGGAGGAGTGCGATCGGGCTCCCCGGCACTCTAGGGGTTAAGTAAAATTTTCCTAAGTGTGTATTTCTTTGGAGATTATTCATAATGTCAAGGAACTAACACTTCAGAAGTGTCAAGGGAGGATCGAATAAGATAAATTCTCTGAATGATAACTTAAGTCAACTGAAAGTATTCTTTAATTTTCTGGGTTGACATCCCATTTTAAATTGCATTTATGCCAGAAAACAAGGCACACTATATCCAAGTTGGTCTTTCTGTATTGCTTCTACAGAATGTTCGGGGGGCGAGGGGGAGGGAAGAGCTGGACCTACGTGGGATTTGTTAAAATATGGAAACTTGCCGAAACTGGTTTGGCTCAGTGGATAGAGCGTCGGCCTGCGGACTGAGAGGTCCCAGGTTCGATTCCGGTCAAGGGCATGTACCTGGGTTGCGGGCACATCCCCAGTAGGGGGTGTGCAGGAGGCAGCTGATTGATGTTTCTCTCTCATCGATGTTTCTAACTCTCTATCTCTCTCCCTTTCTCTCTGTAAAAAATCAATAAAATATATTAAAAAAAAAAATATATGGAAACTTACCTGATTTCCTTCTAGAGTTTCCATTATTAAAATGTAGTTTTCCCAAAACTTGAGAAGCTCTTCTTTTTTTTCCCCAGACCACCAAAACAGACTTGGGCCTGTTATAATGTGAAAAGGAAAATTAGTTGGCAAATTTTACGGGTTTCTTAACAATACTAGACCTTAAAGTTTTGCCACTATTATCAAATGCTGTCTTCTCTAATTAGGAGGAGGTCCAAAATAAAAGCCTAGACAGAAAAAAAAAAAAATATATATATATATATATATATATATATATATATACACACATACATACATACATATATATATTTATTTCAGAGAGGAAGGGAGAGGGAGAAATAGAACATGAATGATGAGAGAGAATCATTGATCGGCTGTCTCCTGCACGCCCCACACTGGGGATTGAGCCCGCAACCCGGGCCTGTGCCTTGACTGGAATCGAACTGTGACCTCCTGGTTCATAGGTTGATGCTCAACCACTGAGCCACCCTGACTGGGCAAAAGGAGATTTTTTTAAAAAATTAAAATTGCTGTTTTGGAGTTCTGGGTAAGAATGACAGATTTGAACACATAAACTCTACTTTCTCTCCCTAAGAACCTCTTTGTATCAATAACAGAGTTTTTAAAGGCAAAAAACAAAAACAAAAAACCAAGTGGAATGGAGAAAACAGGAACAGACAACGGCGATGAAAACCAAGCAGACTCAAGAGTGAGCATTAAATTGGCACAAGGAAAACAAAGAAAATTTTGATTTACAAAATCCCCCCAAACCTAAGGAACTGACGCAAAGTTACTTCTGTGAGCAGAGTGGAGAGTGAAGCTAAACTGCAGAGGGTTTGTGCAGTGAGTCTAAGAGGCGGTCGGACCCAGGCCCCCGTCCTCCTGAGCAAGGAAAAGCCTGGAATCTGTTCTCTGGAGAAGGCAGACAGTGGCCGCTGAACTGAGATGCACTGCACAAGGCCGAGCTCAGGGTGAGCAGCCATATAAAACTGGGGGTCAGGTGAACAGGGGTGCATCCTGGGTGCCGAGACCCCCCCCTTCCACCTGCCCCTCAGGTCCCAGCCTGCTGACCTCGTTGCAGGTTCGATCTGTTGGGCTGCATGCAGGAGGCAATCAGTCGATGTGTCTCTCACATCAATGTTTCTCCCCCCGCCCCCTTCCTAAGAAAAGCAATGGAAAGTTTTAAACTTACATGAAAATCTAATCTGCTCACAACTTCAGACAAAAATCCCTGACCAGTAATAAATGAACAAGTAGCTATAGTTGAAAAAGTAGACATTTCCTGAGACAATTTTTGAATCAATCCATTTCGGACTTGGCTAGCTCAAGGATGGATTTAAGATAAGAGAAGTGTATTTTCACACATTTCAGTAAACCAACCAATCAAATGTCACACACCAACTTCACTGAAGGGAGGCCTTGCTATTGCATCTACTCTTTTCAATAAGAGAGCAGTAAGAAGCACAGCTCAAGATGTAAAAAAAGAATTTAAAATCTGACTCATTCTACTGAACCAATGGCAAAAAAATACCCTAAACATGCTGACTTAAGGACCATACAATTAACAAACATTAGTAAATCCTGCTCCTCAATTACCAAGGAAAATTTCAGAAAAAAAAGTGATGGTTTCTATTACAGAATTCTAACTCAAGACTGAGTTCAGCCCTAGCCCGTATGGCTCCATGGATAGAGCCTCGATCTGCGAACTGAAGGGTCCGGGGTTCGATTTCGGTCAAGGGCACATTCCCGGGTTGCAGGCTCATGCCCGGTGGGGGGCGAGCAGGAGGCCGATCAATGGTTCTCTCTCATCATTGATGTTCCTCTCTCCCTTCCTCTCTGAAATCAATAAAAAATCAAAGACCAAGCTCACCTGGTCAGTACAGGTGATGTCCAATCTGATGGCAGCTAACTGACCCTTCTTTTCTATCGGAGTGGACCTACCCCATACGGTGCCCACGTGGGCCCAGTCCCTAAATCCCCAAATGATCCCGCGGGTCGGGAAGGCTGGGAACCCCACCCCCCTCGGCTGCAGTGGCTGGTGTCACTCTAGATGAGGGTCCCCGGGTTTTCGGGGCGCTATGGGGACCACAGGAGTAACCAAATTGGGCCTGGATGGGAGAGACGACCTCGAGGGGCTGGTTTCCAAACCCAGGCACCTCCCTCCCCTCCAGCCGCGCAAAGCAGGGCAGGGCCGGGGTCGGGGGGGGGGGGGGGCGGCAGGTACCGTTAGCTTCCCCGGAGCCGCAGGTGCAAGGGACGCCCTGCTCGGCCGACACCTCCGCCGCCCGCTGCAGCAGGTACCGCGCCTGCTTGCGGGTCAGCGCGTCCTCGGCGTCCGCCAGCCCCGCCTGCACCGTCCGCCAGAACCGCGCGCAGCGCCGCGCGTCCGGGCCCGCCTCGCGCTCGCCGGGCGCGGGCAGCAGCCGCTCGGCCAGGGCGCTCAGCACCTGCAGCCGCGGGCCCACGCGGCCCGGCCCCGAGGGCGCCACCAGCCCGCCCCACACGGCCCGCAGCGCCGCCCCGCCGCCCCGGCCCAGCGCCGGCAGCAGCCGCCCGGCCGCCAGCGCCGCCGCCTCCCCGTCGCCGGCCAGCGCCAGGGCCAGCGCGGCCTCCGCCACGCGCTGCAGCAGCGGCCCGTCCTCGCGGGGCCGCAGGCAGGGCCCCACGGCCGCCAGCACCTCCACGGCCGCCTCGGCGCCCCCCTCGAGGCCGGGCACGGCCCCCGCGGCCCGCAGGTCGCGCAGCGCCTCCTCGGCCAGCGTGGCCGCCAGCGGCGGGCCCCCCGCGAGGCGCGCGCAGGTCCGCAGGGCCGCGCCCGCCGCCCTCAGCAGGCGCCGGCGGGGCCGGGCCGGCGGGTCTGCGTCCGGGGCCCCCGCGGGGCAGGTGCGCAGGCGGCGCAGCAGCGGCACCAGGTACCCGGCGGCGACCTCGCGCGCGGCCTCCGGGAGCGCGTCCCCGCCGCCGCGAGCCGCCTCGTCCTCCAGCCGCTGCAGGAGAAAGTGCAGCGTCTCCACGCGCTCCGCGGACGCCTCCCCTTGGCACAGCGTCCGGAGCAGGACCCGGGGGTCCCGGCTCAGCCCGAGCAACGCTTCCGCGAGAACCCACTCCATTTGCCCCGCGCGCCGCCGCCGACCCCGGCGCGTAAAATAGGCAAGGCCGAGGGCGTGCGCGTGCGCGGTCGGCTCAAGCGGGGGTGCGCGCGTGCGCAGCCGGCCCAAGAGAGGGTATGCGCGTGCGCGTGCGCGTGCGCAGCCGGCCCAAGAGAGGGTATGCGCGTGCGCGGCTGGCTCCGGAGCTACCACCGCTCAGCGGTCCATCTGTGTGCGGTGTGCAACCTGGTCCACCAGCGCTGCCTGGAGGCTGGACCCGCCCGCCCGCCCTGTTTGCCTCGTTTCTTAGTAAAACGTCAGTGTAGTATCTCCACCAGCTCCATGGATTCCTCCTTGGAGATCGCCCTGCCTAAGGGCCCGGACTCAGTCAGGTGTGCCTGTGAGGTTGTCCATCACAATCACCTGGAAGCTTATCTTCCAAGAAGGCGCAGGCTGGCGCCGCCCGCGAAGAAACGGACACAGCGGGGTCTGAAATGGGTTGCTGACATCTGCATGAAAATTAAGAAGGAAAATGATTTCGAGGGCCCAGCCAGGTGTGACTCAGCGGTTGAGCAACGACCCAGGAACCAAGAGGTGGATTCCTGGTCAGGGCACATGCCCGGGTTGTGGGCTTGATCCCCAGTAGGGGGCGTGCAGGAGGCATCCCATCCCTGATTCTCATCATCGATGTTTCTATCTCTCTCCCTTCCTCTCTGAAAATAAGAAATACATATTTTTTAAAAAATGATAGAGAAGCACTGAAAAGCTCTCTAGCTATGGGCTAGACTCGAGCTAGGGCTGAATAATGCCCATGCCAGCTCTGCAAGTCAAATGCCCAAGCGGACTCGGGCGTGCAGATCTACCCACACGCTGTGCTCCCACGTGCAATCTCTGAAATAGTCCTTGTGTCAGGATGTTCGGTATTTCTGACAGCGCCTGCTGCTGCTAGATGCAGAAACAGAAAACCACGTTAGCATGCACGGTGCTGGTTTGATGTCTGGCTCAGACCCAGGCAAACGGAATCAGTGAGGTGGGCTTTCTTTGCATTCTCCCCCTAACGACCTCCCAGTAGTCAGTGGAGAAAACATACTCCCACTTTCAAAGACCTTGCCATGTAATCCGCACAAGGGATAAAGCATAATTTAAAGTTTTTAAAATATATTTTTAAAGTCACACTTAGTTTTATAGTTTAGGTTATATGTTTTTTCAAGTTATTTAAATTTAAACTTACCCGACATCATATATGCAAGGTTTTCCCATATTTCCAGTCATTTACTTTTCAGTGACAATGTATAAACGGTTCTCTTGTTCTATTCCATTTAGAATGAGGCAGCAAACATCCATTGCTTTCGACTTATAATGTGCCATAAATACCAGTTGCCCTCACAGTATGTTCTCCATAAATCTATTAACCAAGCTGGGCAACAGCCTTGAGCACTTAACAAATCAAGATATGCAAATATCAGGTGCTCAATATCAGTAGTCATTAGAGAAATGCAAATTGAATCTTCCATAGATACCACTTTCTACCCATTAGAATGGCTAACATTTAAAAGATTGAAAACACCTAATGACAAGGGCCACGGATATGGGGCGATCTGAACTCCCACACATTTCTGGCGGGTGTGTAAATGGTCCAATCGCTTTGGAAAGCTGTTTCTAAGAAAGTCAAAATATACCTACTTTGTGATTCAGCATTTCCACCCCTAGGTGTTTGCCTCTAAAATAAATAAAAAAATATATGCCAACAAAAATGTTTGGACAAGGATGTTTTTGATATTACTCATTATTACCAAGAGCTTGTAACAATTTAGAATGGATAAACAAATTGTGGTGTGTTCATATAATATTGCTATTTAGGAATGAGAGAGAATGAATGACTAACCCATAAATCTTAACCCATAAATGAATGACTAACCCATAGATTTATGCAACATGCATAAATCCCAAAGACATTGCGTTGAACAAAAAAGCCAGGGACACCAACGTTGACGTACTGCATGATTCTATTTACATGAAATTGAATAATAAACAACAGTCACCTACGGAAAGAAATGAAAGCAGCCTTGAAACTGGAGGTTGACTGAGACAGGGCCTAGGGAACTTTCCGGGGTGATGAAAACAGTCTATCTCGAATAGGGTGTTGGTTTCACATTTGTCAAAACTCCTCTGTTTGAACCCTTACGATCTATGCCAGCCGTGGGCAAACTACGGCCCGCGGGCCAGATCCGGCCCGTTTGAAATGAATAAAACTAAAAAAAAAAAAAGACCGTACCCTTTTATGTCATGATGTTTACTTTGAATTTATATTAGTTCACACAAACACTCCATCCATGCTTTTGTTCCGGCCCTCCGGTCCAGTTTGAGAACCCATTGTGGCCCCCGAGTCAAAAAGTTTGCCCACCCCTGATCTATGCATTTCGCTGAGTGTGAGCTTTACCTCCATTAAAAAAACAACAACAACAACATTAAGCCCAGCTGGTGTGGCTCAGTGGTTGAGCATCAACCTATGAACCAGGAGGTCACACGGTTCAATTCCCGGTCAGGGCACATGCCCGGGTTGCGGGCTTGATCCCGAGTGTGGGGCGTGCAGGAGGCAGCCAATCCATGATTCTCTCTCATCATTGATGTTTCCATTTCTCTCTCTCCCTCTCCCTTCCCCTCTAAAATCAATAATATATATATATACATATATATATCTATTTTTTCTTCCTATATAATAAAGAGGTAATATGCAAAATTATATATTTCAAAAAATTATGTTAATGGAGTAAAAGCAGGGATGACGCACGCAATGTCAGCCCAGAGCCACCAGATGGCAGATGGCATCCACTGTGCAGGCAGGTGGCCTTGGGCCTTGGAAGGGCCCAGGGGAGCCCGTCCTGCCACGCTTTCCCCCATAGAGACCTGTCCACAGAGGAGCTCATGAAAACCGCCCTGCACAGCAGTCTCCTCCTGTCCGTCCCCCCTGGACACAGGGTCTGAGCTGTCCCAGGCCCATCCGTTTCCAAGGCATCTGGGGGCCGGGAGCCTTTTGCTTCCCTTCTGAAATCCACCCTCGTGGTGAAATGGAATCTCCAGTGGGGGGAGGGGGGGAAATCTCTCCAGGATTGTTTATTAGGGCAACCACATGTCTGGCAGGGAAACCAGGCCTGCGAACACTTACTCGGGCGTTCTGACTGCCAGCGCGGTGGGTGCCGGCTTTGACGTAATCCCAAACCTCAGCCCTCAGCCGGGGAGTTCATGGTGTTACTCACCCCGCTGGGCACGAAAGGAAGGCTTGCATGGGGGTGGTGATGGCTGGCCCAGAGCGCTAGAATGAGGCATAAGGGATGCAGGCCACCCAGGCAGTGAAGTAACCCCCCAGAAATGCAGGACCTGGAGTGGAACGGAAGCGGGGCAAGCAGTCATTCCCGGGCCCTTACTCAGGGTGCTGACAGTCCCTCGGCCTGCGGTGCGCCAGCCTCCTAACGGGGTGTTATGGAGACGCTACCAGGAAGTAGTCGGAATCTAGCAATTGGAACGCGATGGTTGCCCGGCGCTGGGTCCTCAGCACTGGACCCTGTTTTTATGTTCCGTTCCAATAGCAATGAATGATGAAGAACCTAGTTTTTGAATGGAAACTCCATTCCCGTGCCCGGGTGATGCTGGAGAGCTATTACTAGTATTTCCTCCTTTCTTGGTTTTTTTTTTTTTTTTTTTTTCCGGAAGCAGGGAGAGAAGAAGCAATACTCAAACACAGTATGGCCCGTAGTGCTGACCCACTGGAGACTTGGGTGACTCACGAAAAGCAGGATCTAATCTTTACGTCGGGATGGATGCATACGCCCGACGTGTTTTAGAAGCACTTTCTTAGTTAATCTTCGTGGCAACTACTTGGGGGTTGGCAGTGGTCCCATGTTTCAGATGAGGAATCCAGGCGCAGAGAGGTTGAGCAGGTTGCCCAACGCCACACAGCTAGGCAACATGAGAGCTAGGACCTGGGACCAGCTCTTTCTGACTGCAAAGCCTGGGTTTGGTCTCCTGCACCAGGGCATTTCATAGACTCACAGAACCTCCAAGTTGGGAGGGACCTGGGAGGTCATTTAGATGAACCTTCTAGACCAGGCAGGCACCCTTTTCCATGAGTTGAAAGTCAAAATGCACATAAATGTGCCTAAAATCAAAAGCTGATCGAGCCCGGCCGGCGTGGCTCAGTGGTTGAGCGTCAACCTAGGAACCAGGAGGTCACGGTTCGATTCCCGGTCAGGGCACAGGCCTGGGTTGCGGGCTCGATCTCCCAGAGGTGGACGTGCGGGAGGCAGCCAATCAATGATTCTCTCTCATCATTGATGTTTCTATCCCTCTCTCCCTCTTCGTTCCTCTCTGAAATCAATAAAAAATAAATTACAAAAGCTCCCTGGGTACTAGACAAAGCTCACTGAGTGGGGTGCAGGGAGGGGACCGGCCTCAGGCCACACAAGTTGGGTGCCCGAGCCAGAAATACACACAGCACCCTGTGCCCCCCTGGGCCCTGGCACTGCCTGTCCTTGTCCTCGCCACCTCGCACATCTCACCATGCCTAGCTCTGTGTGAATTTGGGGAGGAAACCCCAAACCAGGGTTCAGTTTTCATTACATGCCCGAAACTTGGCCCGAGCTCATGAAAACACTCCTTGTGCTGTGGGAACCTGCAGGCAGACGAGCTGGGTTTCTGCCCCGCATCTGCCCCCACCGGGGCCGGGAGGGGTTCCTGGGCCTGAGCGGGGACCAGGTGCTCACTGGCCCGGAGTGGCCCGCGGCCACCAGGACGCCACCACGCAGGCCACAGCAGCTGCCAGTGCCTCGCAGCTCAGACAGGACCACTGGGGGTGAGAGACAAGGAGGCGATGATTGAGGGAGCCTGCCTCTCCATTTGCAAATGAAGTTATGGAAGCTGCAGGGAGATTGATATTGGTAATTAACTGGTAATGGCTGCGTAAAGCTGCCTGAGTTGGAATTCCTGTAAAATACCGAAGGGACGGAGGCCCTTTGGAGAAATGTCTTCTTGTGTAGCATTTTCAGAAGCAATTTGGGTTTCTGTAGCACTTACTTACTTACTTACTTA